CAAAAACTGGAACAAATAACAAGTGACAACAAAAAGCTAAATGCATACTATTTACAGGAAACCACATTTAAAACACTCACACATACATGTAAAGAATAAACGGACTGTGAAATATATGTGAAGCTGGCACCAACCACAGCAAAGCAGGGGCAGCTGCGTGCACTTCAGACACAGCAAATTTCAAAGCAAGGAAAGTTGTCAGAGATAATAAAGGTATTAAGTTGATTTTCTAAAAACAAATAACTTTAAATGTGCATGTGTCTCATCGAGCCTCAAACTGTATGAAACAACAAAATGGATGGTGCCACAGAGAAAACAGATAAACTGCCATTATAGCTGGACTCTTCCACATGACACTATCAGAACATCAATATGGACTTGGTTGAACTCAATAATACCATTAATCAACTGGAAATAATTGACCTTTATAGACTGCTTTATGTAACCACAGAATAACACACATTCTTCTCAAACTTGCATGGGACACTGACCAAGACAGACAACAATCAGAACTATAAAACATTCCTTAACCAGCTTAAAAGAATAAAAATCATACAATGCCTACTCATATACCACAATGGGATTAAACTAGTAATCAATAACAGAAATATAACACAGAATAAATAACACACTTTGCAGGAGGAAAAAACTCCTAAGAAATCTTAAAATACCTTTAATTACATGAAAATTAAAACACAATTTATTAAAAGTTATAGAATGCTATGAAAGCCATGCACAGAGGGAAATTAACAGTATTGGATGCAAATATTACAAAAGAATAAAGACCTAGTCAATCCACCTTAGAAACCTGAAAAAGGAAATAAAAAGAGTAGACAAAAAGAAACAAAACCACAACAGAAATCAACAAACTCAAAGGCAGAAAGTCAATGAAGAAAAGCAGTGGAACCAATTTGAAGTGATGAATAAAACTGAAAAGCCATGACCAAGCCAAGAAAAATAACCACAAAAGGAGAGAATATGTGATTAATATAAGAAATCAGGAGGCATTAGCACTACAGAGCCTGTAGATATTAAGAGACTAATGAAAAAATGCTACAAACAACTTTATGATCAATAGTTCTACAGTCCTTGCTAAAAGTCACATAGAAAGAAGTAGGAAATGGAACTGGGCTTTATATCTATTTTTAAAAATTGAATAATTAATAATCTAAAACATAAAGCATCAGATTCATATGGACACTAGAAAGTTCTAGCAAACAGCCAAGGAAAAAACTTATTTAATTCTCTATAATTTCTTTGCTGGACTAGCAACAAAGAGAATGCATAGTAATTCATTCTATGAGGCCAGTATTCACAAAGCCAAAGGCCAGCAGAGGCAGAGACATCACAAGGAAAGAGAATACAGACCAATATCTGTCATGAACATGGATACAAAAGTCCTCAGCAAACATTAATAAATCCAATATAACATTGTACAAAAAGGATGGTACATTATAACCAAGTAGGAATTTTGTAGTTATGCAGCTAGTTTAACATTTGAAAAACAACATAATCCATCATGCCAATGACTTTAAAAGTGAAAAGAAAAATTGTAAGATCACATCAGTGATTGAAAAAAAAATCATTTTCAGAAATCTAACACCCACTCACTTAAAAAACAAAAACAAAAACAAAAGCAAAAAAAAACCTCAGCAAACAGGAATAAAGGGAACCTTCCTTAATTTCATAAATAGCATCTACAAAAACCTACACTCAAATTGGACCTTTCCCATGAAGATCAGGAGAGAGCAAGGCATCCCTTCTTGCCATTCTTTGCTGCATGAAACTAGATGTACCAGGTAATACTATGAAAAAGAAAACAAAGGCGTACAGACTGGACAGTACACAGTATCCAGGGAAGAAGCACTTTGCTAGAGTCTCCTTGTGTAGTGAGAATTTCAGTGGCCTTCCACCGGTAGCCAGTAAGCAGCTGAGGCCTTCAATCCCATATCCACAAATCATTAAAACACACTAACAGCTTGGGTGAGCATGGAGGAAGACAGAATCCAGGAAAGCTTAAAGGAGCCCACAGGCCTGCTGATATCGAGCTCACGCCTAGCGAGTCCAAAGTTGAGGAACCAGCTGAGCCTTACCCAGACATCTGACCTATGACAGAAGAACAGCAGAGATGGGTGTTGGTTGTCATAAGCAATTAGGTTTCTATAATGTCATTATACAGGAAGAGATACCAATACACTTGATTATATCACAGATCAAAGTATAAGTTAAAAATCTAAATTTCCTGAAAGAAAATAGGAGATGATCTTTGCAGCCTTTGGGTCAGCAAAGACTTCTTAGACAATCTGTAGGAAATACTAACCATGAATGTAAAAGTTAATTTTCCTAAAAATTAAAAACTTCTGCTCACTAAAGGATATCATTATAATCCCAAAAAGCAAGCCACAGATTGGTGAAAGTATTTGCAATTTACGTATGTATATGTATACACACACACACACACACACACACACACACACACACACACGGCACATGGCCAGGACATAGAAGACATTTTTCAAAGTTCTACAACTCAATAACAAAAAAATTAAAAGTGGGTCTATGAATATATGAAAAGTGTTTAGTATCACTGTAAAATAAATGCAAATTAAAACAATGCAATACATCTACTTCATTGGCTAAAGTTTAAAAGACTAACAAAATTAATTACAGCCAAGAGTGTGAAGACTGGAATCTCACTCAGAACTGATGGGTGTCACCTTGTATAGCCATTTCCTTGAAGTTGGCTACACAACACCGAGACTGAACGAGCATCCACATTCAGGCAATGAAGAGAAGGCACGCACCCACACCAATGGTGGCACAAGAATGCTCATAGTGGCCTTCTGTGTAATCACCAAAAACGGAGAATGGATGCTAAAAACTTTAAGAATATTGAGTGATTCATGTCACCATGTCTCCCACACGATCTGGAATTTCTAGGGTCAAACAGGGAAGTAAGGCCTGCATACCATAAAAGCAGGGGGATGGTTCTCCACGATGCTGGGGTGGTACTGCTGCTGCTCTCACGTGGCTCTCTAACTGCAGAGCTGAGGAGCTTAGGGCTCCACTTGGGTTCCCAGGTGCAGCGCCCAGCCCGTGTGCAACATTCAACACTTAGCAGAGAAGCTGCTGCTTCTTACAATCAGTGGTCATGAACAGAGACCCACAACTGGACAATGTGAAGAAATGAGACTCTGGAACATGCAGCCCTACATGGGATCTATGTAGAAGGGGAGGCAGAAAGAGTCGAACAGGCAGAGGTGGTGGGTGACTTCAAGGAAGCAGCATCCTCCGGACACAGCAGGGATGATACGTGTACAAACTCACAGAGGTGGTGACAGCATGCACGGGACCCACATAATCTCAAATCAGCCAAAATCCCACACAGAGCAGAAATGGGCATGAAGTCCCAGGCCTAACCAAGAAGCTTTCTGCAATGCTGGGAAAGGGAAAATCCATTCTCTCCAGTGGTGTGCCAGTGGGCATATTAACCACACTTTAGGGCAGGCTCAGGAGTAGTTAGCTGGCCAACACAGAACAGACTCCATGTCTGTCTGTCTGTTTGTTTGATATGTGTGTGTGCTTATTTTGTTTTTGATAATTTTTTAATTTGGATATGTTTGTTTTGGTTTTGGAGGTGTTTTCCTTAGAGAGAGAAAGTACATGATACTAGGAGGGTAGGGAGGTTTGGAGGAGCTGGAAGAGTTGGCAGAGAAGAGAGAAAATGATCAAGTATAGTGTATGAAAAGGCAAAAAAATGGGAAGACCACCCTAACACTAACAGAAGTCAGTATGGCTGCCTTATGAATGCAAATCACGGCAAAAAAAAAATACTTCTTAATAACAAAGCCTCAACTCATTAAGAGGACATAGCAACTCTAAATCAAATAGAATAGTGTAGCTTCTAAACCCAAGAAACTAGCAGAATCACAGGGGAAAAAGGGAAAAGAGGGACATATACCTTCGCACACATCAATAAGTGACAACTGGTCAAGGGGGTGTGGCAGCAGACAGCAAAGGACTTGCCCAACCCAAACCCAACTCCAGTTCACAAAATCAGTCAGGGCCCAGAAAAGAACCGGCTGTAACAGGGCCACAGCACCAGTGGGTTAGTGTCGCAGAGTTCTGGCAACCACACTGTAAGCTTCACTGAGTTATATCATGTGACATTTGTCTGGAGTCAAAGCCAACCATGTACTAGGCACCACAGCTGGCCCTGGACCACAGCAAATCAGTATCAGTGACAAGCAGGTTAACAAAATGCTGTTACACCCAGGCAAGGCTGAAACACATGATCACACAGTCACATGATTCCTTCTCTGAATCAAAGCTTTGCTCATGAAAAGACAGGATGAAACTGAACTTCCTGAGGACTCAGATTTAGCAGATACTGAATACTTTTAAGTCTTCTACGTTTTCCATAACATTTGTTTTTCTACACAGCTGTTTGCAACTCTTACTTCCTTCTGTCCTTTTCTCATTAAGACAGTGTCTTTACACTCTATGGTACTCTTCCTGCGTCCAAATTCTTTTCAAACCTGTCTCCTGCTTGTATTCCGAGTCTTGTCTATGGTGTTTGCATTTGGCTTACACAGAACTGTATCTGTCTATGGGTACACGTGGCTCTCTATATTGTAGTAAGAGCAAATATACTGAATGATAAATAATTTTAAAATTCTAGATTTCTCTTTCTCTCAATAAGTTTACTACCTAATTTCCTCTCCTGGTACTCAAAACTATCATATAATCTTTTTCTCATTTTGATTTTTTTTTTTTTGAGACAGGGTCTCATATAGCCTAGGCTGACCTTGAAATGGCTTTGTAGCTCAGGATAGTCCTCTTGCATCCATCTCTGGAGTGCTGGGATTACAGGTACTGGGCCCAGCTGCATGCACTCTTAAAAACCATAAGACTTCAACAAAATAAAATCTGACCACCTTCTAAATACGATGTAAGACGGTATGAACAGGAGAGGCCCTGCTCACACTGGGAAACTATACCTGAGGAGCTGCTGAGTTGAAAGCCACTTCAGTAACCGTATCTGTATGCCCTGCAAGACGATACAGGAAGCTGCTTGAGCCCATTTCATACACGTACGCCTAGGAGACAAGATAAGCAGATGTTCCAGGCTGACAGGACTGGTGACCATCTCCAAACTCTGGCTCAAGTGTGGTTTGTGGCTGACCCAGGACACGGTGACAGGTGACAAGCCAACACAATGCCAGCCAAGCCACAGAACTGGGCCACAAAGTACATCTTACCTCGAAGGGTACTCACCTCCACGACTCCTGCTCAGCAGTCTGAAGCAAGGACTCATATCTGATGACTGATACGTTGGAAGGTACACAGCCTGTGCTTACCAACTCTACTTTAAAGCCCCATGTTAAAGGAGAAGAGGTCACATTGCCCCTTCCATGAGCCTGAGAAAACTGGGTACATTCAACTCAGGATATGAATAATTTGTGGTTTTCTGCCATTGACTAGAAAGTATCTCTACCAGAATTATTGCATTTCCTACGTTATTAGTCACTTCTCTGCTGGTGTGATAAAACACCATAAGCAAAAGCAACTTAAGGGAGAAAGTTTATTTCAGCTTATGGTTACAGTCCATAATGGAAGGCTCTTTAGAAAATCCAGCTTCACAAATGAGTCTGTCAGATACACTAAGCCTGTAGACTGAAGAGGATGCCCCCAACATTGCAGAGAAACCTTGGGTGACTGTCCAGGCAGCCAGCTGTTTCTGTCATTTCTCACATGTTTTGGAAGTCGCTTGTTTGCACTTCCTGTTTTCTTAGTAAATATTATTTCCTTCTTGGGTCTCTGAGGGAGTTGAAGATTAGATAGTTATAGTTTTCCTTGTTAACAAATTCAGAAAAGAAACTCACTAAAGAGGCATAAAGTGTATAAGTTTGAAAGACATCAAAAGATAGTTTTGTTTATGCAAATTAGGATAGAAGGTAAATTAGATACAATCCTTTGAATTCACAAAAGTAGGATAGATAATGGAATATTTTCTCTGAATTTGTCAAATGCAAATAGACCAGACATTGTCAATGTATTTATTGCTTGTATATATTGTATATAGTTATCATACTTATTGTATATAGTTTTTCTTATATTAGTTATAATTTTTTATTTTTTATTTTAGGCAAAAAAGGGGAAGTATGGTGATATACTGTGTCCCCCAATATATTGTGCACCCTAATAAAGCTTATCTGAGGATCAGAGGAAAAAGCCAGCCACTATATTAAACATAGAAGTCAGGCAATAGTAGCACATGCCTTTAATCCTAGCATTTGGAAGGCAGAGATCCATCCGAATCTCTATGAGTTCAAGGCCACACTGGGAACAGAGCCAGGCACAGTAGCACATGCCTTTAATCCAGCACTAATCATAGAGGTCTGGAGGTCTGTACAGACAAACAGGAAGTGATGTAGCTGGGCAGAGAGAGGAAATGGGATGCAGAATAGAAAGGCATATAGGCATGGGTATACAGGAAGTAGGCCTCTTTGGAAGCTGAGGAGTTGGTGAGGTGAGGTTGGCTGTGGCTTGTCTTGTTCCTCTGATCTCTCGGTTTTCACCCCAATATCTGGCTCTGGGTTCTTTATTAATAAAACTGTTTAGCAATTCGTCTTACAGACCCCCAAAGGGCTCATGACCCACAGGTCTGAAAAAGTAGACAATGGCTACCGCTTTCATTCCGGCTTGGCGAAGGAACAACCAAAGCACCGTACCTCCTCTTTTGGTGACACTGCAGCAGTAGATACTTTAAGTGCCAAACACCCATTTCTGTAAAAGGTCAAAGCACTGTGATATATAATGCCACATATGAAGCCAACCAGTGAACTTCTCAGAACACACTGTTCTTTGCTTATGTTACCTGAATACAAAGTGTCAGTTACAAAGAGCATGCAAGAAATAATGGTAGACGAAATCAGAAGTGTGGTCAATGATGTAGATAAGTCTTCAAAGCTTCGTATTAATCCTTGCAATTGTTTCTGAAAATAAAGTTCCACAGTATTCCAGAGAAGCCAGCAGTTGTCCCAATGAATAAAGTGTCACGCATATTAAAGGTCTTGTCTTTTTGAAGCTATTCAACTTTTTCCTAGGATTTTGTTGACCATCGGTCATCTTAATTTTGCACCTCCTGGAGAAGGAATCGCTGAATGTGCACGCATCTTGCCATCTTGATGCCCTGCTCGTTAATCACGGGGTCTTGTCTTCTCCCATGGAAGCCTGAGCTCCTTTTAGAGATTATGTTGTGGGTCTGAGGTGGAACAAGGAGTGCCGGGGCACTTCTCTATCCCCCACCAGAGCCACATAAGCATCCCTCACTCAGACTCAGGCTCTTGTTTGGGCACCACCATTTTTATGTCTCATGTGACTCCCAAAATGGATTTTTATGAGGACACTTTATAGAAGACAAGCACGAAATTCATTAAATGACCTTTCAGATGACAGGGATTTGAGGCACACAGTGGAGGAAGAAGGGGCCAGCACAGTTTATAGCCAAGGAGCACCAAGACCTCTCCAGGGAGCTGGCCTCCTCTGTGGGCTTAGCCTCCAGCTACGTGGTAGTGTGTTACACAGCCCTGGGACACTTTAAGACCTCTGTGCTCCACATCTGCGGGGGTGCGGATCTGGCATGGAGGAAACGTGTGGAGCACGGGTGGCAACTGCATGGAGGAAGCATGCAGTTCTCTAAGCAACCGCAGGGGGCGACTGCACTGGGAGAAGCATGTAGTTCTCTAAGAAATCCTATGGAGATAAGGGACACCTAATTACACATGAGCTGCACGATCCGGCTGATGTCATCAGCTTGTCCCTCCTGCACCACACATCACAGTCGTTCATGGAGTTCGTATCTAGTGTCCCTGATAACTAATAAATGAAGAAATGAGTGATGAAGATAAGTGTGTATTGTGATTAAGTAAAAATGAGCTTCTCGTGGTCACAGCTTACTGTTGTGGAGTTCGCATGCTGGGTAAGTCTCTTAAAATACTGTCAGGCTTGAAATGGATTTTTACCCCAAAGCTCAATGGCGCTGAAGGTCTGTTTGATAACACTACTTAGAAACCCTACCCTTAGAGAAAGCACACTACATACATGTCTGTCCTCTGCACCACAGCCCATGAGTCTTCCACAAGGACTAAAGGCAACTCCGCAAGGGTAACAGCGGCTGGGATGCCCTTCGAAGCGGCGCACGCACCTGCAAGGGTAGAAAGAAATGGCTGGGCAGAAAATGGCTGCTACATCCTGAGACAAGTTAGAAGACATCACCATGTTATCTCCACAAAATTAACAAGTTAATAGCTAAAAAAAAAAAAAAAAAAAAAAAAAAAAAAAAAAAAAAAAAAAAAAAAAAAAAACCTTTCTTTGATGTCTGTGTGTGGTGTTGAGAATTAAACCCTTGGCTTTTTTGACATGCTAGTCAAACACTTTACCACTGAACTACATCCTTGAGAAAAACTTCACATTGAGAATTATTAAATGGTAGGTAATTAAGTAGACCTTTAAAATAATTTAAACCCTTTTCAAAATCATGAATTCCCAAAGATAACAAAACTAAGAGCAGATGAACATTTATATATGAGAAATATTAAATAAGCAATTTCTACTGATAATAAATTTTTCAATCAAATCTTCTAATATCATAAATTATGAAAAGAAACAACTCATGGCTTGGGGGAGGCGCAGCATTCTAGTAAGAGGGTTGAGTTTCACAACCCCTTATCAAGTGCTATGTAAAACTTGCCCATCGGGGGGAAAGTCAATGCAATTTTATTAAGAGGAAACCTTCAATACCTTTGAGAAACAGCCAGGGTCTCCCTTAGAAAGGCATCGACAAGCATGGCCAACAAGTGGGTGCCCTGGGGCATGTCAAGACTGAGCAGAGTCCCTGAATAGTATGCAAGATCTCACTTAAACCATATGGTGCAGGGTGAGGCTTTTATATTTCTTCTACTGACAAAGAACAAATCAAGCACACTGCTAGTGGTTTCCTTGTGAACATCTGTGTGCTACAAACATGTTAACATTTTTCAATTTTATGACATTATATATACACTGTACAGTGATGACTTATAGTATTGTGATTATCAGAAGATAAAAGTTAGCGCTTAAATAGAAACACCTTCACAGAGGGAGATCGAGCAGCCTAGCGTAAAGTTTCATCAGTGCTACTCCAAGGGAGCTGTGTGAGCTCAGTGCTGGTGTCCAGTGTAAGTAAGACAGATGTGACAGGAAAAGAAAAAAAAACGTATCTGAGGTAGCTGTACTACAGTGTACACGCCATTTCTCACATCTCTGAGAGCCATGTGTGACTGGCCCTTGGAGAACAGAGTAGCACCTATGGTTTTACCATCTCCAAGTGACTGCACTGATTCTGTGTACAAGTTAGTCTTCTCCAGAGCATACCTAGACTAGTCATAGCCTTCTATTATTTGCAACCAGGATCAGGTTGTATTCCCAGCTCAGCTCCAATTCCCCTTGGGGCAGTGCTTTGATGCAGGCTGGCCTTACCTCAGAGTCCTCAGGTCCCACAGTCGAACCCCATCACCAACAGCTGTGGTCAGGAAAAGATTGTACGCCAGAGACTGTTGGGTCGTAAATGATGATCCCTGTCATCAGATGTGGAAAATAAAAAAAAAATCAATAAGAGCTTTTAAAAACATTTTACTTATTTAATTTGGGAGGGGAAGCATGCCACAGTGCATGTATAGACAGACCTCTGACCATCTGCAGGAGCTGGTTCTCTCTTTTCACCATGTGGGGCCTGGGGATCAAACTCACATCATCTTCAGGCTTAACTTCAAGTACCTTTACCTGCTTAGCCATCTAATAGACCCCAAGATGAACTTGTAAAGGCTAATAACACCTAATAATACTGGAACCTAAAGACAGAAGTCAACTAATCTCTCTTAAATTACAGCTATAGAGTGGGATTCTAAACCTCCATGCAGCCATAAATCGCACAGCGACCTATATAGACAAGAGACTGTACAGGGCCTCTGAAGACTGCGGCCTAGTGATGTCGGAGCATCTTAGCCTATGTAAGTGCACTCTGTGACTAACCATGCAATTCTCAGAACACAACCTCAGGTTGAACAACATCAGTTAGCATAACTAGCCAAATACACTCTAATCTTAATAATTAATGTCTGTTTACTCCACACTCAATGCCATTGAGAGTCACAGAACTAGAAAACAGCAACAGACAAAAAAGACTAAGATGATTACACACGAGCATTTCTTTTTCAGTATTGATCATAATCTTTATTCAACAAATTATCTGGAATAAAATGTACTCCCTAATGAGCACTTAGAGTTATTTGCCAGTTATGGAACTCTAAGGTACACTGAATGGGTGCCTTGGTGATGAAACACATGAGATCCTATGTACCTCAGGACCCCACATGTCACTGGGAGTAAGGGCTCTGCAAGTCCAGGCCTTGACATCTTGATGACTCTGATGATCCCCCAGAAGAAAAATGGCTGTGTAAAACAACTGGACACCATCAGAGGAGCTATTTGGCTCAAAATATTCCTTAAATGTACTATAATTCATAAGAATTCCATTCTCTTGCTATGTCAAGATTACTTGAAATATTACGACAAACTCGATATAAGATGGACCTAGAAGTCATTCTTCGTTTACAAGCAGAAAATAAAGGATCACATTATGTTCAGAGATAACAAGCCACACTCTAAGGATTAACTGTGCCAGACAGCATGCTACACACTTACTTCCTTAGCTCTTCATCCTTTTAGCAAACAAACTATTCAGTCCCCATTTATAGTCAGGAAATGTGATACATGGTGATCTGTTCTCTGCCTCATAGCCGAGAAGCTCAAGTTAGGTCAATCCTGAGTTATCTGGAGAATTGCCCAGAACAGAGACAGCAGACTATGGATGGTGCACAGGTTGGCAAAACCTGTCAACAGACTGTTGCTGATTCACAGGTAAAGCCAGTGCTGGGCCAGGCAGGCAGTAGACTCCTGATTCAGTGTGTCGTTAGACAATAGATAAGACCTGGAGATGACGCTTCCTCCCGAGCACACTGAGACAGCAGCCGGCTCTCTAAAGTTGTGTCTGCATCAGCATCAAAGTGGTTCTGAGATTTGGTGACTCTGCTCCAGTATACAGGGCAGGTCTGCAAGCCCATGAAGGTGTGAGGAAGCAGGCCTGGCTTGTTCCCTTCCTGGGTGATGATTCAAGGCATTCCTTTCTCTTAGGAGTCTTCCCATCAAGCGTCTGCCTGAAGCTTGAAGTGTTACTGCATGGCCTCTATGCAGTGTCTGCAGTGTGCTCAGGTGCCTACGCATGTGACCTTGTGGACTGACAATTCTTTGAGAGCCATTGTGCTGTGCTCTTAGATGGTAGGTGTTACATTAGGAAAAATAGTTCTGCTTTTTGTTTTTTGTTTTAAATGGGGAAGTACCTAGTTTAACTTCCCGAAAATAAGCATATGAGGGGGACATGATGGAATGTGAGGCCGAGCATGAGATCACAGAGGCCTGCACCGTGTTTGGTGGCTTGTTTTCTGAAGAAGCCTCTTACATTTTTGTATACTGACACAGGACACAGCAGAGCAGTCAGGCTCACCACAACCATGTGGGTGCTGTGGTCTGTGCTCTCCTTCCAGTTCAAGCACAGAAGCATTTAGGTCATACTTGACCCAAACATCACAGTTCAGTAAGAATAAAGTAGGTCATTTCTCACCCTGTGAAGCTTAGGACCCAGTGTGGCCACTCCAGTCAGTGCCAGCAAAGCTTTGAGTGTCCTATGCACCACCTAGAACAGGGCTGTGAGAATGGTGTCCAGTGGTTAAGCTGGACAGGACAGGCAGGGTTTAATTCACTGTTCTTCTGTATTAACAAGAACGCCTCTGAACTGGGTTGATGGCCAGACTTTTCTACTGCTATGTATCATTAAATGGTTAAATGTTAAACAGTTATTAAATATTATTAAATCATTAAATGATTTACTTTTAGATTGAAAATAATCATACCAGATCTTTCTTCTTTATTTAAAAAACTAAACAGGTGTTCCAGTTTCCTTAATGTTGCTTTGGATAAAACCCTGACAATAGCAACTCAGGGGAAGGAAAGATTTATTTGGCTTACATTTCCAGATCACAGTCCATTGCTGAAAGAAGTCAGGGGGGGACTCACGTGTGAACCTGAAGGCAGGCCTGCTTGTTATTACACACAGCCTTACCTTTGACCAGGGAACTCACTCACTCAGCCAAGAAAGTCAGTAGAAACATGGCAGTGTTTCTTGATGGACTGCAGGCAGTCTCATGCTTAGCCAGCTTGCTTATATAACCCAGGACCACATGCCCGGTGAAGGGTACTACCCACAGCAAGCTGGGCCCTCCCATACCAATTACGAATCAAGACAACCCTCTACAGACATGTCACTGCATCGGGTGTCTACTGCCTGCCTGGGCCAGCACTGGCTTTGCCGTAGAGCACAGGAGTCAGCTGACAGTCGTCCCTAACCTATGCACCACCCATAGTCTGCTGTCCCTATCTCAGCCCCGTCACAAGAACTATGGCAGACTTGTGAGTAGAGGCTGTGTCTTCTGAGGAGGGGCTACACGAAGTGCTTAGCTGCTAAAGGAAGGGTAAGCACCAGGCAGCCAGGTACACCCAGACTGAGTGTGGCCTGGAGGACTTGAGGAAGGACCTACTCAGCTTCTGCTAGACCCTCTTAGCTTGGAGGAAGCAGGCTTGGGGGCCGTGGTGGGGAGGGTGGGCCTATGGCACTACCAAAGTGATAATGGACTAAACATCTGAAAATGTAAGCCACCCCAATTAAATGTTTTTCCTTTACGTAGAAAAATAGAAATGGATTAATTTAAGGTGAAAGAAGCCTGCCATAGGCCATACAGTTGATAATTAATATTAAGCCTCTGAATGATTATTTTATAAGTGACTGAGAGACCACAGGGCTGGGCAAGACCTGAGAAAACTTATGGCTACAAGCAGATTCTTTGGTCAAGGGCCAAAAGCAGCCACATTTTCACCAAAATATCACAATGACTTCTGGGCCACGTATTAATATTCTTCTCCTCTGAAATCTCTTGAGCCAGGCCCTCATAGTTCATCAAATCACACTTAGTACCACTGTCTTCCATTCTCCTACTAGTCTGGCCCATTAAGCAGCACACTTAGAGCATTCAACTGATTTTCTAATCCATAGTCTCATGGACTTCAAACAAAAGCATGGTCAGGCCTATGACAGCAATACCCTAGTCCCTGGTACCAACTTCTGTCTTAGTTAGGGTTTCTATTGCTGTGAAGAGACACCATGACCATGGTAACTCTTATGAAGGAAAAACATTTAATTGGGGTGGCTTACATTTTCAGATGTTTAGTCCATTATTGCCATGGCAGGACATGGTGGTGTGCAGGCAGACATGGTGCTAGAGAAGGAGCTGAGAGTCCTACATCTTGACCCACAGGCTACAGAAAGTGGTCTGAGTGTCACACTGAGTGAAGCTTGAGCAAAGGAGACCTCAAAGCCCACTCCCACACTAACACAGTTCCTCCAACAAGGCCACACTTCCTAATAGCACCATTCCCTGTGAGCTTAGGGGGGCCAATTACATTCAAACTACCACAGCAACTAATCTCCACTTCCTGCTCTCTGTTTCTATGAACATGCTCCTGGTACCACCCTACTTTCTCTACCCTTTGTCCACATGTACAATCAGATGGAGATTGAGTCTGTGGTTACACATTCTTCTGGTGAGAGTAGGACTTACTCAGGCACAAGGACCTTGCTTTGTACCTATGTATACAGGGAAAATAGCAATCAGAGTACCTACTTACAGATATTTTAAGTTAATAAGCAGTGTAAAAACATGCACATATTCACAAACATGCATGAATACATGTTTACACTCATACATACCAATGTTAAGGTGGAGGAGATTATATAAACACTCACAAATTTAACCAAGATACTAAGAATGGGTAATGAATTAAGAGTTCATCACAGAGACATGTAACTGCCTTCCCACCCCACGGCTATTTGATGCAATGTTTAAAAAGAGAGAAAAGACCACTTTAAACACAATATTACAATGAAATCTAATCTCACGGAAAAGATGAACTACTAAAAATGTTTATGTTAAGTCAGCTAGCACTTATTTTTGTCTCAACTAAGAACTAGAAGCTCTTAAAGGAAATAGATCCATTTTAAGAATGTTTTGTATTCATTCCCTTTTCATATATGCATACACATCCAACCCTGATCCTCTCTCCTACTTCCTCTGGCTCTCTCTCAACACTTTCCCCTCTACCTTCGTGTCTACTGGTCTTTCACATCCCACTAAGTCTAATTGGTGCTGCCTGTGCGTACATTGTTATGGGGCCATTCTTTGGAGCATGGGTAACCTATCAGCAGCCATAACTCCACATAAAAATTATCCTCCCTCTTCAGGCATCTATTGATTGCCAGTAGCCACCCTGGGTAGAGCTTTGCATGTCCCTCTCCCATCCATGCTGGAATATTGCTCAGGTAACCACAGGTGCTATGAGCAATGACCCTGTCATGTCTAGAACACAGCATTTCACAACACAACTTCCCATCCTTCAGCTCTTACATTCTTTCTATTCCCTCTTCCAAAATGTTCTCTGGGTCTTTGGGCAGTAGGGGAAAGATTTGATGTAGATGTCCTACTTGGGGTAAGCACTTAGCTGTCTCTTATTCTCAGCACTTTGACCAACCTTGAATCTTCACTGACTGTAACCCATTGCCAAAAGAAGCCTCTCTGACCAAGGTTTTGACCATTAATCTATGGGTACAGACATAAACACTTAGAAGGCAGTTCAACAATGTGTGCATTTAAGAAAATAACCTTAGTAGTGGCCCCTTCCCCCAGGGCCTATGACATTCTGAGCCATGGGCCTTTGTGACCAGGTTTATAAAACCAGGCCTGAATCCCAGAAAGCAGGTGATCAATCCCATAGCAGCCATAATACTATTTTACAGTGAGGACATCTTACCCAGTGGATTAGCATTATAACATGCAGGGTCCACTACTGGATAGGTGGCCTGCAGATCACCTTACTACGATTGATAGCCAGCGGGAAGTTAGCTTTCAGGATAGTTCCAGCTCCATTTATCAGTCCCTACAACCACAGTGTGTAGTGTCTGCAGCAGTGAGTCACCGTCTAGCTATGGTAGGAAGCCAAAAGCAATGGCAACAGCCTGGGTTATGGGGGCCTCTGAGGCCTTTTGACAGTAACTCACGGGGATGTATCCCAACCCTAGCACTGAAAGATTGCAAGTTCCAGGCAAGCTTGAGCTACTTAGTGAGAGATTGCCTCAAAAATAAAATCACATCTTTAGTTTTTAAAAAACAGCAAATCAACCCGCACAGGAGCCGGGGAGATGGGTCAGTGGGTAAAACCGCCTGCCCTGCAAGCTTCACTACCTGAGAGACCCTGCACAAGTAAGGTGGAAGGCAAGGATTGCCACTCAAAGTTTTCATTCTCTCCACATGTGTGTCATGGTCATGTACACACTCACGCACAAACATGGACATGTATATCACACACACACACAAATCCTTTTAAAGTCAGCTTTTTCCATAAGTCTTAGACGGCTTTTAGGTAATGAGCCACTTTGGGGCTGTCCTAGTTGGTTGTTTTGTTGTTTTATCAACTTGCCACAAACTAGAGTTATCTGGAAAGAGGAACCTCAGTTAAAAAATGCCTGCATCCGATGGCCTGTAGGCAAGTCCGTGGGACATTTTCTTGACTAATGTGGGAAGGCCCGGCCACGGTGAGTGGTGCCACCCCTAGACAGGGATTGTCTATGTTGTATAAGAAAGTAGGCTGAGCAAGGGAGAGCAGACCAGTAAGCAGCACTGCATCAGTGTCTGCCTCCAAGTTCCTCTCTTGAGCTCCTGCCATGGCTTCCCTCCAAGATGTGACTGTAAACTGTAAGCTGAAACAAATGCTTTTCTCTCCAAGTTGCTTTTGATCAAGATATTTTATAACAGCAATAGAAACCTATCTAAGAGAGGATGGGTCCATTAAACTATTAGCTCTACCTTTAAATACATCTGAGAACATCTCTAAAATCCACAGTGTGTCAAAGAGGATAATTGTATCCAATAGTGCAAGGGGAATCTGGGAATCAGAGACTGTCACAGCCTGCAGTGGATATGACTGCCATTCATTCCCACCATCACATATATATCCAGACCTACCCCAGCTAAGTGAGAATGCATTGCTAGTCACAGATATTTACATGGATCTGCAACTAATCAAAGGCAGAGAACAAAAAGTCATACACAATCTTACTAAGATATCTACAGGGATGAGAGATATGGCCCACACACTGCTCTTCTAGAGAACCTGAGTTTGGTTCCAATTACCCATACTGGGCAGCCTATAAGCCCCTTTAACTCCAGATCCAGGACAATCCAACATCTCTGGCATCCAAGAACACTGGCACACACATACACACATAATTTAAAAATACTCGCCGGGCGGTGGTGGTGCACGCCTTTAATCCCAGCACTCGGGAGGCAGAGCCAGGCGGATCTCTGTGAGTTCGAGGCCAGCCTGGGCTACCAAGTGAGTTCCAGAAAAAGGCACAAAGCTACACAGAGAAACCCTGTCTCGAAAAACAAAAAAAACAAAAAAACAAAAAAAAATACTAATAAATCTTTAAAATACCTGTAGCAAAAGAAGAAATTTAACATAGTTTGATGATCAGCAAAAGCTAATATTGGATCTTACAGTAGTTAAAAATTTGCATTGTAATATATTTGTAACTGTTAAACACATTTAGCTCAGAATCTTTAAATAATATTTCTGCTATCTACAAACTTACTTTATTTTGACAAATCTGATGGGCAGGCCGTGAATGGACTTCAGCTATCACCGCAGCACTGTGGCCAACATTGAGGTCAAAAACTTCCACAGTCCGGTCCCGGCCAGCGGTGAGTACGATGTCTGCAGGAGGTCAGTCAAGGGACCTTCTCAGCAGTCTCACCTGTGGGCACACAGTTCTACCCACTTTATTAAACCCCCCCAAAAAAACCGGGGACCTCACACGACTCAGAAATGCATAATTAGTAAAGAATTTCTGGAGTTCCAGAGAAAATATTCAGGGCAACTCCACCAGCTAGGGCTCCTAGCTAGGGAAGGGGCAGAAGAGGAAGCAGTGAGGGAAACAGCGCATGGCACAAGACACAGTGGAGACGTCCACCAGCAACCGGAATACACAGTGTGAGATAAAGACGAAAAGACAGAGCACAGCCCTCTGTGTGGTCGGTCATCAGTTCAAGTTGGGGACCCACATCATGTTCTGTCAAATGGCAACTGCTGAGTTTTGCCAGCCCAGTGCATGTAATCCAAGGATGCCCACAGCAGGTGTGACAGTTTCCAAGGATGCCCACAGCAGGTGTGACAGTTTCCAAGGATGCCCACAGCAGGTGTGACAGTTTCCAAGGATGCCTACCGCAGGTGTGATGGTTTATTAAGAAAATGCACTAGATGACTATGCATTACTCGGTAAACATAGACAAGTCCTGTGAACTCGCCCTGCTATGTCAGAACCCAGACTGTTCTTCCTTAGAGGTGCTTCTTACTATTAAGATAAGATTACTCTACTTTCAATTACTACAAAAGATCCCACATTCCACAAGGAGAACCATTTGTCTGTCCTTTGTGCCCAGCAGGACGCCTAGGGCTTCTCAAATGCCCAAAAAGGGCTTTACCAGAAAGCAGTGCTCAGTGCAAGGCACATCCACAGACTGGAAGGAAGGATACGAGAATAAAAGTCATTCACTGCAGACAGGGTGGTCACTTCTACCCCACCGGTCAACGGGAGCCTAAAAATAGGCTTATACCTGCTTTTTGGCTTATACCTGAAAGAAAGAAAGGGGGAGATGATCAATGTTTTTACTTCTGACTACAATTAAACATTCTACATTTAAAACATAAAAGTGAAAACAAAGGGTTCTTACTGCTTAGGCATATGTTTTAATACTAAGGGAATGTGTGAATAAGCCACCTTAATCTTCCTTTGGGAAATTAATTCAACTTTCTATCAGAAATTCTGGGTTGTGTTTTTCTCTAGGAATGCCTCATGGAAATAACAGTAAATTATCTAGCCCAAAATAACTCATTCCTAACTATGGGAAAGCAAGTTTGTCTCTTAATTCTAAAATAATTATATATTCCCTTATAGGTACTCAACCAGTTACACAATGTTGATATCTCATCCTAAATATTAGTCCTTATTACTTTCAGAAGGGTAACATGATCGTTGGGTGTTGCCTTAATAAATGCATGATCTTAACCATGGAAATCATTTCCTAAGGGAAAATAACTGGTAGGCCAGCCTGGGAAGTAATCTCAGCCCAGCCCAAGCACAGCTTGGCCAGGACAAGGCAAAGAGAATGTCAAAAGAGTCTGACTGGTGGCATAGAAGAGCTAGGCCCGGCCCAGGGCAGATGCTGCACTGTCCGGGATAAGGACACTTGTGTTCTCTAATAGGTGGTGGAGGGCGTTGCCTGGAAGAGCACTGTATCCGAGGCTGAGAAACTCTGGAACAGGTCTCAGAGCAACAGGGACAGGCCCCAAGCCTGAAGGGACATAAGGGATGTGACCATACAGAGACAGAAACAGAGTGCAGTCAAGTCTCAAGAGAGGCTTGAGAATAAATGTTTAAAGACAGGACCAGACTTGAGAATAAATGTTTAAAGACAGGACAGTAGGTAGTCACACAGATGGCCATGATGCTTAAGTTACACAGAAGGATGGCTGAGAACGAAGTCACTTTATCTGGAAAAATGTGTTAAAACTAAAAAAATAATAGGATGAGGGAAGACTCTCCAGAAAGGTGGCCAGGCAAAGGTGTGTAGAAGAAAAAAGAACCTGAAAGAAGGCCACACAGATAATTGAGCAGGCATAAACACAGACGTCGCCCTCAACCGTCTCTCAGAATTAAAAGCATACCCGTTAGAAGCCTGTCCCCCACTTTTCACTACCACCACCTCAGCTGTAGCTTCAATTATTTATTCTAAACCTGCATCTGCCCAACCAGGTAAATACTGGCGAGCAAAAATAAAGAAAAGGAAAAAGTCAATTCACACCATCTGTAAAATTCTGGCTAGACTAGAGCCCACAGTGGTGATCACAGAAAAAAATAAGTACTGGTGACTTTAGAGACAAAGATGTCTGGCACAGAGCAGTTCACCAATGACTGGAAGTCCTTGTTGGAACCCACTTCACCCTACTTTAACTTCTGGTGTTCCTGACAGGGGCCGCTAATCACAGCAGACAGTGCTTTCTGTTTAGAGATGGGATGAGTTGGGGTAGAAATGGTGGGATGGAATGAGATGGGGTAGGATGGGATGGGATGGGATGGGGAGGATGGGATGGGATGGGATGAGTAGGATGAGGTGGGATGGGTAGGATAGGATGGAATGGGATGGGGTGGGATGGGTAGGATAGGATGGAATGGGATGGGTAGGATAGGATGGAATGGGATGGGTAGGATGGGGTGGGATGGGATGGGATGGAATGGGATGGAATGGGGCAGGATACGATTGGATGGGTAGGATGGGATTAGTAGGATGGGATGGGATGGGATGGGTAGGATGGATGGGATGGGTAGGATGGGATGGGATGGGTAGGATGGGGTGGGATGGGTAGGATGGGGTGGGATGGGGTAGGGTGGGGTGGGGTGGGATGGGATGGGATGGGAAGGATAGGATAGGATAAAGTGGGATGTGTTGGATGATGGGAAAGATGTGCTGGGTGGGTTGCGGTGAGTGGGGTGAAAGAAATGTATTGGGTTAGATTCCACACTGGACCCGAAAAATGCAAGATGGTTCAGGCATTGCAGTGCAGCCTCCCATATGAGTTCAAGGTATACAGCAAGCAATTAGTAGCTCCTCATTCTATCTCTGGGTCATTTTACTCTGCTATGATGAGATGATGTGCCCTGCCTATAATGACAAATAAGTTAAGCAAAATTATGGTTGCTGACATCCAAGAAATTTGATGAATTCCAACAGGCACCTATAAATCACTCATCAGGATGCATTTTTACCTCTGCGTTTAACAACTTTCCACTGATAACAAAATAAAAATGTTGTATTATATAAGGCAGTAAATACAGAAGGAAAACAAAAAGTCTCCTTTTGCATAAGTGAGCACTGTGAAGAATATTCTGCCAGACATTTTAGTATGAACCATATTTATTCTACAATAATTTTTACTTTAAATATGAAAAACCTCTCATTATTATTAGATATTCCTCTAAGTAACATATCAATGTTGCACTGAATTACAGAATGTGAATGTCACTAAGTTTATGCACTAAGTTTCCCAATGTTTCTACATTATGGAAGCTACTTAGCACTCACTCCTTACATTCTCATCTTTCCATTTGCCCATGGTTATTCTCTTAAAATAATTAGAGAAAAGGGGGATATAGAGGCAGAAGCAGACATGCCCTCAGAACTTCACTTTGAGACCACCCCAACTCCTGCTCTTGTAGAGATGGTTAGGAGCAAAAGTGAATGGACAAAGGGGTAAGAGCAAAGAGGGATTTGATGTTAAATCTCAAAAACAAAGGAATGTGTGCTAAGAAGGCAGGAGAACTGAGAAGCTAATAACTGAAACTTCCATTTTTTATCATTTAAAACTTTAAAGTGCCTGTCTCTAAGAATGAAGAGGCGGGGCAGAGTGAGAAAGGGGGCTGGCACTTTGGGGCAGGATCAGGAGGGCTAGAATCATGAGGGAGACCACCTACCTTCGTATGTCATCCCTACAGAGGTCAATGTGGTACTTTAGCAGCCAAAATTCAGAGCCAGAAGACAACAGTATGAAAGTATCCATGTAGTAGAACTGTGCAGATGTTATTGGCTTGGGAAAGGACTCTGGACCCTGTGAAGCAGACCAGCTGTGAGCACTGCCACACACTATCACACACAATCTCTCCCAACACCCCTCCTCACATTCCTGTCCTCATCCTGAACATAGGTCTGGTCATAGTCAACTCACAGTGCTGATTTTGCTTGCTGACCACCATCAAAACTTACTGTAGTGAGCCTTCTCAATTCTGCCTGTTTACAAACTCTAAGAAGAAAAAATGTGTAAATTTGGGGATAAGGGAATTTTTAGACAGGATCTCACTATGTAACCCAAACTGGCCTCAAACTCCTTTGCAGGATCATCCTGCCTAGGCCTCCTTAACCCGAGATAACAGGCTTCTGTCACACAGCTGACTCAGAAAATTGGAGAATGGGGGTGGATGAAACACTGAATATCAGGGATATTACTGGCATTGAAATTGAGAACATGATTTGGAACACAGCTCTAGGTGTCTACTACTGACTTTGTATCTCATGGCCAATCAGGCCCAGCCCAGAGACCAGCACTGATAGCTCTGGGGCTGCTGAGAACTTCCTCCAGGGTGCTGACCCTAACCAGCCCATCTGCCCTTCTGACCTCTCCAGAGATGAGGTGTAGGTGGCACATCTGACTGTGGCAGCCGACAATGCACTCAATGCCCAGCCACTCATGGAGGTACAACTGAGTATCCAGACCCCGTAGAATGTGGGCCATAAGACGAACTGAGCATGTGCAGCCCAGCATTACCAGAGAGCATTGCATCCTTGGGTCACTAGCCCAGGAAAAGGTCAAACTTTCACATGCTGTTAAGTTTAATATTATAGTCGAAATGTCCAAAATCAGCCTCTCTCTGACTTTTCTAAATGCTCACCACTGCTGGGTTAGGTCATAATTCATGAGTAGAAGTAGGGTTTCTTAGCGCCCTTCTTCTTTCCTTCTTAGTAGTGAGATTTTTTTGTGTTCTGTCTCTCTTTTCTCATTCTATTTCCAAATAACCTTACATACATTTGCTTAAGCAAGTCATTTTACTCCTTCACATAACATCCTCTTGTCCATCATTATGACCTCTATGATATAATGATGAACTAACATGTAAAGTTATCCATGTTTTACTATGGGTATTTTTGCCATTTTCATACCATAACAAATGTAAATGTATATTAAATGTGTTTGTCAATGTACATACCACACACCAAGAGTGTGTTACCATGTGCTATATATGCATGCATTTCATGTATGAATGAATGTAAGAAACTGTCCCACTGTGATGTTTCTATTGTGGTGAAACAGTTCCTCATTCTGTCTATTGCCCCTACACAGAGGCAGACAGCTGTGACTGTCCACAGTTCAACTAAGCAGTTTATCTGCCATCACTACCCACCATGACATATGTGCTCATGTACACATTACCAAAAGCAGCATGAGTTCTGTCCTGTGAACTGACCACACCCTCAGTGTCTGGTCCCGGCCCGTAGACAGCAGCCATTTCTTGTCATGGCTCCAGCAGACAGTGTTCACAGCTCCATCATGACCTAAGTATTCAGGATAAAGGGAGAACCAAGGAGAATGTTTGCCTGTACCAGAACTGCCTCTTCTCAAGGAATAAGGGAGGCAGTTTCTTGCTGTGAGGCAGATGGACCATGTCCAGTGTCAGATAGCCTTGCACCAAAAGCCTATTATTAATGAGGCTTGTAGAGGAGGCCTTTCTAAAATCTCTTCTTTCTTAAAGATGAAGTTCTGATTTTGTGTGTCCAGGCTGGGGGGAGTTCTAACACAACAGTATAAGAAGCAATGTTCTAGGAATTGGGGATTTAGCTCAGTGGGTTTGATCCTCAGCTCCAGAAAAAAAAAAGAAGAAGAAGAAGAAGAAGAAGAAGAAGAAGAAGAAGAAGAAGAAGAAGAAGAAGAAGAAGAAGAAGAAGAAGAAGAAGAAGAAGAATCAGTGTTCTAAAGGAGAGTACAGAGATCTGTGGACCCTACGGTGCTCTACCAGTATTTAAAAGAGCCTTTTCTTTGGTTTTAAAGAGAAGAAACAGAAGACTTCACTGAAGATGCTTGGAAATACTCTCATCACTTGCTCTGGCCAGTGGCTGCTGGTCTACACAGGTGCTAGCACACCTGTGGACAGCACTGGCTAGGGACCCACAGGTGGAGAGACTGCCAATCAGTGCCCACTCACGCTTTCGGTTCTGCAGTCCCTACCCCAGTCTCTTTCTAACACGGAGCACGCTGTCTCCTAACCCCATCTTTGCCCTTACAGTCTCTACAGGGCAAACTCGAAACCATAGCTACTAGCATTCTGAGAAACCCAAGAGCCTGAGGATTCACAGAAGCAGAGGCTTAGAGAAATCATCACCAGCTCTTCCCTGGGAGAACTAGTGGAAATAGGCAGACGGGGAGCTGGAGGCTGCACAGTGTCAGGCGTGCACCAGGGTATCAGTGACCCAAGACTTGCTGAACAATCACATTTCACCCCGGAGTGCTGTGTGGTGAGGACTGCAGAGTAAGGAGCCACAACTTTGACAAGAACCCAGCTAACAGGAACCTCCCGCCCAGGCTGGTCTCAGCACAGGAACTGCACGCTGCAATTGAAAGTCAGTGAATCAGTATCATCAGAGCATATGGCCAGAAAACCACCAGAATAAAAATGGAAAGCCAGAAGAGAATTGTAGGTAGGATGTCACTCTGAAATTGGACCCCAAAACAGCAAAAAGTCATCAAGCAGAAAAAATTATGTCAAATGACTTTGCTGCCCTCTTGTGTTGAATTCGAGCATTTTTCACAAAAATGCAAAAGATCTGTCCAATGCCCAAAGAACACTTAAAGGAGTGCAAAGTGGAGCACCATGAAAATCAGTGTGGAAGTTGCTCAAAAAGCTAGAAATGAATCTACCACACGATCCAGCTATAGCATTCTGTACCAAAAGGACTCTCTATCCTACTATATATACACCTGCTCACCCATGTTCAACATTGCTCTATTCATAACAGCCTAGGTGTCCATCAACTGATGTATGTATAATGATAATTCAGTATGTCTATACAATAGAATATTATTCATCTGTTAAGAAAAACAAGATTATGAAATCCACAGGTAAAAGATGGGGATGGAAACAACCATCCTGAGTGAGGTAACCCAGACCCAGAAAGACAAATGTTCCACATTTTCTCTAATTTGTAGATACTGTCTCTGACTCTTTAGATATATTGTTTCATCTGGAATATCAATGGAGGTCATGAAATTAGTAAGGGACCATGGTGTGGAGCTTTCAAGGGAGCAGAGATAGAATGAAGTGATATAGAGAGTTAAAGATATAAGGGCAGTAATGGAAAGGGAAGGTTAAACGGGGTTGGGAAAGAAGAGCAGAGGAGGGAACACGAGGAGTGAACGATACTATAGAGCTTTTGAAAGACACATGGAAGCCTACTATTGTAGCAGCTTCTTAAAATGTATACATCACATAGAAGAAGAATTTAAATGGAATTGCTCTATAAGGAAGGGACAAGCCCATACTAGACACCATAGACAAACAAAAGGCCCAATGTCCAGAATGGCTACCACTTTGGGAGTTGTTGGCCACTGGGGTCCCACAGACCCCCAAACATTGCAGGCCATTGCCAATGTTCTTGGTTACCATCCAGAAATTGATGATAAGACCCTACTGATAAAGACACCACATACCTGAGTCACAGAATATAAAGAAATCAATTGGGTATACACCTGGAAGTTTCTTCCATGCTGGCTAGCTCTCATAGTACTGGGAGGTGCTATGCATGCTACCAAGGGAGAAGTGATCATAAATCTTATCTGGCTATAAATCTGGAAAGTTACAGTGATGATGGGCCTGGCAGGACATGCCCACTGGCGCAGCAGTGGCACGGATATCACGGGGGTAAACTAACTACTTCCTGATTGAATTTAAGGCCCAGCCATAAATCGAAATCCATACCTGGCACCAATATAAGGCCTAACAATCTGTGGCTACACAGGTCATAGGGTCTGGGGGAGAACATAGTATCACTGTTGTGATAAATGGCCACAGGGTTAAACTGACTCCTAACGACCTATCCTTAGATTAGTGCACCTCTCAATCGTCATCACATTCACTTCTTTCTTCAAGGGGTGATGATTGACACAGAGACCTACAACTGGAAGATGTGCAAAGACCATGAAATGATCAACTCTGAATGGGACATTTGTTTCACACCCCTCCTTCCAAGGCTCAGGAGTCATTTCAGAAGGAACAGAAAAACTGTAGAGCCAGAGTTGGTAGATGATACAAGGAAAAGTGTTTTCCAGACATAGCAGTGCACTTGACCTATGAACTCATGGCAGATGTGGCAGCATGCATAAGACCTGTGCAAGCTAAAGCCAGACAAAATCCCAATATGGAGAGGAGAGGTAGGCATGAAGAGCTATTGGGAACTGATAGCTGCTGGGAGAGGGAGAGTTGGTTTTCTTTAAGGGTGCGGCCCCTGATAGGTCATCCAAACTCCAGTGGAAGGCCAGATGCACAAAAGTTTAGGCACAACACAAATTGGAATTGATGGGTTAAAAAAAAGGGACACAAAGTTTGGGAAGGAAGGGGTGAGTCTGGGAAGATTTGAGGGGGGGTGAAGATGATCAATATATTTTACAAAATTCTTAAAGAACTAATTCAAAAACAAACAACAATAACAAAAGTTGCAAGCATTCACTAGACTTGCTAACAATCAAAAGCAACAGGGAAATGATGCTGTGATATTGTCACTGAGTAGAAATCGCATTTGAGAGCCATAGTGCCTCAAAAATGGCACTGGCTCACATCTGCCCTGGAGGCAGGGCACGTCTGAGCACCCTGACTTGACAATATACTTGTTTGATACCTGCCCTGCACAGTCTACCTCCTGACCTCTATATAGTAACGCCCTCACACTCCTCAGATGAAAACAAGGATATTTTGATCCACCTCGACCCCTACCCACAGGTGCAGAGGCTGCATGAGATCACACAAAGGAGGAGCAGGTGGGACAATTTCACCAGAGTTCAGGTCTCTCAAGAAGTGGACAACACACTCAACACTAGAATACTCTCATCCTCCATCTTCCACTCATCACAGCATCAGCTGTCTACCTAGAGTGCACCAATTTGAATCTGAAAGCCAGCATAAGCAATGAACAAAGCAGGATTATATAGAGATACTCTATATAGAGAACTACAGCCTGGTCCTTCAACACATTACAGAAGGCTAGGGACTGGTACTCCCCACTCCCGGGACAAGACCAGCATGGATGCCTATGGACCTACTGAGGGCATATCCCCTTCTCTTTCAAACCACCCTAGATGCTGCAAGGACCCTAGTGTAGACTAGACAGTTCAAGCTAAGTCAGGGCCCAGCATACATGGGCCACAGTGTATCCCTGATGTAGCATGGCCTTACATGGTTCTGGCCACACCACCATCTCACACCTCAAGAGTGTCCATTGCTATCCAAGCCAGTATGTAAGGCAGATGAATATAAGGCAAAAGATATTTTGTGTACATTTGTATTCAGTAAAAATACCTAGCAAGTGTAAGTTTCTAAACAAGCAGCTATAGGATCCTAATAAAGAGCTAAGAATTCTTGGCTGTAAAACTCGGAAAATTATATATCAGTTAGGAATTTAACACATTAACTCTCATTTTTAAATGGTATTGAACTGCTTAATGTATTAAAACATTCATTACAAACCCTACTAAATTTCAAAATACACTTCAATGAAAATGTTTTATTAAATTAACCATATTTCATCTCTATAAGAGTGAACTTCCTTCACCGCCCAAAATCATTCAAAGGCTATGGCTTTTGCCCATGAAGGTCTTGGCCATAGCTTGCTGCTTTGTCTTACAGAACACATGCATTGGGAAGGACACAGGCTCCACCTGGTTTAGTAGCTTGCAGTAACCTGTTTCAAAAGCTCTAGTCCACCTATGAGCCGCTGTGTATAGAAAACTGGAGCTTAGTCTGCTGCTGACAAGCACAACCCACAAGATTCACCCTCCCTCGTGTCCCATCCGTCAAGATTAAGGATACCTGAAAAAGCAGCAGGTGTTCCAGAAAGGCTAGCATCAAAGACCAGGGAAAGGTGGTTAGCTAAGCCACAGGCCAACTGCTGTCCATCCCCTGTTTAAAAAAAGAAATCAACAGCTCAATAAAATAATAACATGGGAATCCTACTGATCAACTGACAGTTAACGTGAAGAACATCAAGCTACATAGTCATTTATCAGGTAGTGAAGAATCTGAAACAACATATAACAAGTCTTCCCAAGGGTTTGTCAGGCCTTGAACCAACCCCTCATCAGAACCCCAGAGAGCAGCTGTGTCTGGGGCCATTGCAGCCTTCCACTCACAGAAGATAAGCAAAAGGGTCAGGGCTGAGCCCCAGGCTGCAGGGCTGCTCAAGAGCAACTTTCACGATAGTCAAAGTTGGGGACCTTCGCCAAATGTGCAACTTCATAAAAGTAAGCACAGCAAACATCAAAAGATGCCCACTGACAGCACTGCACATTCAGTTGTCAAAAGATGTTTGTCTAGAACTATCTGAAAAGTAGAGTTCCTTTATCCAGAGTGATAACTGTGGTAACTTTTAGATGACCCACCAAAACCATTCTGAAGGAGTTACGGGCACCTTCACCAAGCTGCCACAAGCATCACTTCACTCCCTTCAAACACTATCAAGAAAAGTATGAAAGCCCATAAAAGAGCTTTGGGAGGAAGGCAGCTAAGATACACTTGAAAACATGGCAGCACCTGGGGAGGTCAAGCGCTGCTCTTTCCTGTGAGACATGGTCTACCTGAGGAAGAGACACAACTCACAGGACAGTGTCAAGACCACCTTGTGATGCCCCTGTGGTCACATCTCTAGCTCCTGTCTATGAAAAGCCATCTTACCAGGCTCCTGTGTGAAGGGGTCATCATGGAAAATATGTGTGTGCCATCCTGGCAGCACTGAAGGACAGAAGTGCCCTGTGATAGCCCTCATCAAGTGCAACTGAAGCCTCACTTCACTCTAGACCCAAAGCATGCTTAGGAGCATCAGTACCCATGTGATGACTTATCTTGATTGTCAACTTGACTACACTGGGAATCAACTAAAACCCAAGCAGCTGGACACCGCCCCCCCCCCCAGCCGCAGAGGGTTTTCTTGATTGCATCATTGAGATAGGAAGACCCACCACAAATCTGGATCAGTTGAGGTGAGAAGATCCACCCTAAATCTAGGTCACACCTGGTGGCAACCTGCACAAAACAATATGAAGAAGGAAGCGCTTGCTTTTTGCCTGCTTGCCCTTCACTGTTGCTGGCAAGTTCATCTATCCTGCTGCTGAGGCATTCCTTCACTGGTATTAGAACATACTTCTTCTGGATTCCAACACAGCCTAAAGACCAGCTGAGACATGCCGATTCATAGACTGAACAACTCCTGGATTCCTGGCCTTTCCGTCAGGAAATAGACATTGTTTGACTAGCTGGACTACAGTCTGTAAGAGACTCAGATCCCATACATATTTTCATTCTATCAGGTCTGTTCCTCTAGAAAGCCCTGACCAATACAGCCAGTATCTTCAAAAACAAACTCACCCCAGTGGGCAGAACCCAGCTGCAGGTGCAGGCTTACCTGAGTACTGCAGACAGCGCACAGCAACAGGCTCCTGGGCCACGGCAACCTGCCTGCTGAGACTTCTGGGTAGGAAATTCTCCAGAGAGTACTCCTTACTTTAAGGAATGTCACAGTGAAAACCAAGAGAGAAGTTCAAGGGAGATTAGAAATAAACTAGAAATTAAGTATATTCCCCTCTACTTAGATATATCCTTTTATATGATTAAAGCTGAAAATCCATATAAAACTTTTACACTCACAATCATGAATCACACTCTTTAAACAGATCTGTATTCTGTATTTTCAAAACATGTATCTTTGTGGGTTTGTGTGTAGTATGAAGAGCACTAAGGTTCACGTCACCCTTGAGGCCCAGTATCACTGGGAACACTAAATACTCTATTGGGTCAGGCACCTCATGCTATAGGTGTATGTTCACCTTCTGATGTGGAGACTAGTGGAAATTGACAGGAAAGCTAAAAGAAAAATCAATAATAATTTTTAAGAAATATGTCAATATGCATGGTTAAAATCATACCCAGAATATCAAAAACCCATAGGAAATGCTCTGAATATACTCTTCCCAACAGAATGCAACTGACCAATGAGGACATAAAAACTCAGTGTCCTGACAACAGGTAAATACAACTTGGTAGTGAGTTACAATGTCACTCCACCCCAAGACTACTATCCAAAAAAACTACTACCCAAAAAGATAAATAAATGCTGCTAAGGATGTGAAGATAAAGAAACCCTTAATCCATTGTTAGAGGACATGTGAATTAGAACAGCTACCATGGAACAGAGTATGATGACGCCTCAAAAAACTAAAATGAAAACTACCATATGATCAGTCTTACTCCTGAGTATAGACACAAAGGAAATAAAATCATTGCCAAAGAGATACCTGCTTGTCAATGTTCACTGGGGCACTGTTCACTACAACTAAGATACAGAATCAACCTAGGTGCCCATTAATATGTGACTGGAAACAAACGTGGTCTATATACACCATGAAAAAGTACTCAGACATGGGCTAGAAAGATAGCTCAGCTGTTAAGAACATTTGATGTTCTTCCAGGACCCAGTCTCCATCTCTGATGCCAACATTGAACAGCGCACATTGGCCCGTAACTTCAATGGCATGGGTCTGACGCCCTCTGCTGGCCTCGGTGGACACCCACAAGCACTCACAGACACATCAGTAAAAATAAAATAAATTCAAAAGGGAAATCCAGCCATAAAGTAATGACATTCTGCCATTTGAAACAAACTACATGGGAACTGTAAGATGTTAAGTAAAATACTCCAGCTGCAGAACCTCAAATACCATATGCTCTCGCTCATATGTGTAAGCACTAAAAAAAAAAATTTAAGTTGACCTGAACATAGAATAGTGATGACTCTAGAGATTGAGAGTAGTAGATAAAAGCCGGCCCGTCTCATCAAGGAGCACTGTACATAGTATTAAGGCATCACACTAAGCCTCAGTAATAGGTGCAACTGATCAAGGTCAATGACAAACACTCGATGTTCCAGTAAGCATTTCTGTAAAAATAGTCACTGTTCAAATGTAGGTGTGGGGTACGTAAAGATGAGTTAGTTAAGTTAGGCAGCCCATAATCTCTTTTTTCATCATATATGTTCATCATGTATCATATAAAGTTCAGCCTGAGGCAAGCCCAAGGCCCCAAATGCTTTGTACATTCAGGCTAAGTTTGCAACCTGTCCAGGTCAACGGACCAGTGACGGCCACTAAGAAGCAACATTGGCTCTGCAACTGCCCTTCTGTCACCACCGAGACCTGAAATGCTTCTCAGGGTCGTCAGCCAACACACAACATACTTTCCTACAACTGCATTTTTCTTCCAGCAAAATCTCACTATTTCAAAACTAGCAACATAATAAAAATAGCAGAATATCCAAAGGTTTACTAAAATGAGACAACCATATTTGATTTGAAGGATGCATATCAATGACATATTTATATTCATATCTATGCATATATAGTCATCTGTTTAAAATCAAGAAAGCATTTTAAAAGTGTTTCTAAGTTGTTTCAAATTTACTTAATACATACACTCAATTACATACCATTTGTAATTGTTCTTGAATTTTGAAGTTCTTTTGCTATTATGCTTGATGTTAGTCTTTGGTGAAAACATAGTTACACTGAAAGGAAAACATACACATAGGTATATACCACTCTCAACAATTAGGATTCTAAGTTTCTTAAGATATTTACATTTTACAGGGAAAAAATAAACATATACAAACCTACATAATTTTTTCAGCTGCCTTTTGTTCTTCTTGAGTCCAGAAACAGTCACTCACCCTGACTCCGAGACATCACAATGCTACACACCTCCTCTTTGGTGACCCTACCTGATGCTTCTCAGCTCAAAGTCCCAGGGCAGTATCAGGACCACAAGCCTCCCACATCATCCAATGTGGATCCTCAGAATCCATTAAAATTGCATTGTTCTTCAATGCATGAATTTCCAATCCACCCAATCCATCCATCTGCCATCATTCATTCAGGGGTAGCTTCTCTGGGCCACATTGTCATCTATGAAGTTCACACTCAAAACTATACTATGTAATCAAATTATAAACTCAACACACAAAAATCCCTTATTGTTTTAAGTAGATTTATGGTTTTGTGTTGGCTGTACTCATAGCTATCCTGGAGCTTATGTGGCCAGTGGGCCACAGTTGGGACACACCTGTGACTAACTTACCCTTCCATCTATTTATCTTTCTTTCCCTCTGTTGATGTCTTCCACCTTCCACCCATCTCTCTACCCATCATCTATCCCTCCTTTTATCTACCTACCATCTGTTCATGAGTGTCTTATTTGAGAGTTTAAGGAGTCAAGTGCTGCCCCAAGCACAGAACAGACAAAAAGTAAAACAGCATCCACAGTTGTTGCCACTGGGGAAAGAAAAAGCATGAGATAGGAAAGGGATGAGGGGCACACAGAGCTCCAGTTACAAACAGGACGGCCTAGGCCAGAGGCCTTGAAGAGGCCTGAGCAGGGTCTCAAGACGAAGGTGAGAGTGAGTGGGCAAGAGTGAAGGTGAGGTGAGAGCACCAACAGGGGAATGGTAGAGACCCCCCCCACACACCCTGTCACATGCCCTAAGTGCAGGGAGCCCATGGGGCTCCTGACCCTGGGCAAATGGGACTACTGTGATAAAGATACACGCGAGGTCTAGCTTTGAGATAAGAGGGTAGTGTGACTACACATTGTACAGAAAAATAAGTTTGCCTTTAAGAAATTTGAAACTCCTGAAGGACTGGAAACCTCAAAGCTTTGTAGCTGTTTCTTCCATGATACTTTGTGTTTTCTGGTCTATAAATAACCTAGCCATTAGACCTGCTGCTTCAGATTTTAAATAGCCTGAGGTTTAACACCATGGCATGGCAACAAATTTGTTCTAATCAAGGGTCTATGGTCCAAGATGAACTCACTGATGGGTTACACAATCCCAATAGCCAGCCCTAAAAACATACATATGAGCTCAGTAAGCTGTATTTATGAGGGAGAGAGGGGAGAGGGAGAGAGGAGGGGGGGGAGGGAGGGAGGGAGGGAGGGAGGGAGAGAGAGAGAGAGAGAGAGAGAGAGAGAGAGAGAGAGAGAGAGAGCACCAGTTTCAGAGGAAATGGGCTCAAAAACAGTTGAAGGTGTTCAGTGAGGCCGTGGTGACCTCATTTTCATGTACCACCTTTCCCCACTTTCCCTCCCCACCAGCTTCTCACTCACCACAAAACCTTATGATTTGACAATAACACAAGGAGCTGAGCAGAGATCAACAACCAATAGGCATTTAACAACCAGTAACTGCACAGCTGCTACCCTTATGGTGATTGTGGTACTCCGGGGTCTAGCTCACATTATAATCCTAGTTAGGTCCCTGCCCGCCCTGTTCATGGTGGAAACCTCCAAGGCACATTAGTGTTCACACTAAAGCCCATCTCAATGGTATTCTTGCAGATCAATTCTACCACTGACACAAGAGACACGATGGCGGTAACTTACTGTGGTGCCGATGTATAGCCAGATGACCTGATTTTAGTGTGGAAGACCAAGGGCCGGTCCTCTACCGCAATCCTCACAGCTTTATGACATGGTGTAAAAGAAGCAGAAAACATTTAACATGACAATTCCACTGTCCCATAAAAAAAGAACCCAGTCTCCCTAATCTGGAAAATTCTAACAAAATGACCTTCTGACCTAATGAAATGAAAAGGCTCTATACAGAAGTCAAGCCAAGGAAAAACAGCCAAAAATTCATCAAGGAGATGAAAGGTACAAGAAAATAATGCAAACTATACTAAACCATACTTTGTGTAATACTGTGTATTTCTTTTGTTTCTTTTTTATTTGTTTGTTTGTTTGTTTTTGAGATAGGATTTCTCTGTGTAAGAGTCCTGGCTGTCCTGGAACTTGCTTTGTACAGCAAGCTGGCCTTGAACTCACAGAGATTCAAAAGCCTCTACCTTCCAAGTGCTGGGAATAAAGGCATGTGGTACTATGCCCAGCTAACAGTAATGCATTTGGACTACAGTCCAGTACAGGGTCCCTGTTGGAAGAACACACAGGAATGGACCACAGCACACAGACTCAACCTAACAGGAATTCCACTGAGGGGACAACCAAGAAGAACCATGATGCACACAGGGGCAGGCTACCTGCCTCACAAATTCAAGGGTTTAATGACTTACTCCTCAGAATGGATGCTCCAGACGATGGCCCTAGAAACACAAGGGAGGTTTAGCGCCTCATCTGGAAGAGGCTGAGCCAGTTGTCTAAGGGTAAAAAGCAAGGAAACATGTAGATGTGGTGTATATATACAGAATGTATCAGTGGCTCTGACGGGGGGCGGGGTGCTCAATCTTATTAACTAAGTCAGTCAAGAGACTTTATGAGACTGAGTTTACATTGGTCAATGAAGGGGAACAAAGGAGCATCAATCAGCCATGATTCCTACAATATAAACAACTGGGGCACCATGAATTCTGCCATCTTAGCATGGAAGTTAACTTTAAAAATATATTTTGAAAGAATCAATATGAGAGGACTGTTTGGCTACAGTTTACAATGAACTAATCAAAATCTATTTTTTAGATAGTCAATAATATTGTTATGGCCTTGCTAATACAAGAAATTATTTCTAGTTGTGACAGGATGTGATTTTGGCTAGCTGTTTCAGAAACACACACTGAAGTGTGATTGATGCAATAACATATTGTGCAACTACCCAGGGTCTATCACAAGTCCAAGTCTATCTCCAAGTCCCCCCAAAAATCACATCAGTATTGAGGCATGCCCTTGAGTTCCTGTGAACTACGCCAAACTCAGGGGGAGAAGTGTGGCCCACATTCCCAACCGAAGATAATGTGTAATAAATCTGAGAGACAAAAGAAGCAGCACTGAATTTCTCTTTTGGCAAATGTAAATTCACAAAGTGATTCAGCATTTCTGACTGTGAAGGAAGATGGCTACATCTGTGTGTGTGTTTCAGAATGTGTTATATTCACAGTGAGTTAGCAATTCTGACTGTGAGGGGAGATGGCTATATCTGTGTGTGTGTTTCAGACTGTTATATTCACAAAGTGAGTCAGCAATTCTGACTGTGAGGCGAGATGGCTACATCTGTGTGTGTGTTTCAGAGTGTGTTACACTAACCATGTTTTTTGGTATTAGCAGGCTTAGTAAAGTTTTCCTTAATAATTCCAAAATACAGTGGAGAAGTTGGCAGGACACAGGAGCTAAAATAAAAACAATCACATTGTGAGAGCAAACAATGATATGATGGACCTATTTCAATGCAACATACATTTTAAGGACAATGTAAGATTAACTCATGCAAATATAGATTTATAATATTTGGAAATTAAAACTACCAAGGTCCTTATCTTTATGAGAAAAATATTGACATATTTTAATGAAAGTGCTATTTTATAATTTACATTCTATTTGAAATAAACTAGCAATTTATGTTAAACTATGAACCATTTAGGTTTGAGTAAAATAAAATCACGGCATGAAAAATTAGTTCTTTAATAGATCATTAGTATGGTTGAGAGTTTCCAAGGTTTACTTATACTTCTTCACATGAAAAAGATCTAAAATGCAACCAACAGGTAAGCACCCACATACAATGTGATATGCAAAAAGACTGTACCTTGCCAGCACAGAAAGCATCTTTCCAGCACCAGGGCACTTCTGAAAGCTCAGCAGAGCAGCCAGGCTGATTTCCAACATGGCAATCTTATTTCCAAACATAGATGAAAGTATGCAAAATGCCTATGGGACACTTAAAAGATTAGCACATGGCTGGACTGGGGGCCTGTGGGTATGTCCCATCCCGCCAGTCACAAACACAGCTTTGACAGATCTGTTTCACACGTACACACAGGGGAGACCCATGTGCAATGGGTCATAATTTCACATAAGAGATATCACCAAGACTGTTATTATAGTGAAGAGGTACACATCAGAGCACAGAGAAATACACGTGACAGATTTGCCACAGCACAAGTTTCACCACTCACCTTAGGGCTCATGGCCTCACTCATCACAGCACAGGACCCAGCAATTTGGACACTCAGGCTCTGAAATTCTTGATTTTCATGAAAATAAATATTTGAGAGGTTGACAAATGGAAATAAGTAGCTGACTCATTTGTTCAGGCTAGTTATAAGTCCTACAATTAGCGCTCTTGGATTGTAAGATGTACACAGTTGGGGATACAATGTGGAAAGAGATAGGTTCTTTTTCACACAGTCAGCTGGTCAGGAATTCACAGCTCCTCCTGCAGGTGGTCTAGACCAACGCCAAGTATTTAGAGCGAATTGCCAGCAGGACTGACAGATGCACATGTGAGGAAAAGAGCCTGTGGGAGGGAGCCTGGGGGACACACCTAATACACACAGCTGTCTAGGTGCCTGACACATGGAGGGCAAGGAGAGCCTCATGGGCCCCCAACACGAAGATGGAGGGAGAGATTCACAGGAGCCTGACACAGTTGGATGAAGGAGGGTTTTTCAGAGTCCTGACATACAAGGAGAGGGGGAGGGCTCCACAGAAGCCTCAGAGATGGAGGTGCTGAATGTTCCTAAGAGCAGAACTAAAGCTATGTCCTTCAGATTCTGCAGCCCGGAGGTAACTGACGATCTGAGCAGGTGTGGTTACTGATAAACTTATCCTCAAATTCAAATGGTCAGGCTTTCTACCCCAAACTTTTACTCCTCATCTATCTCTTTTAAGAAAACCAAGTTACGGGCTGGAGAGATGGCTCAGAGGTTAAGAGCACTGACTGCTCTCCCAGAGGTCCTGAGTTCAATTCCCAGCAACCACATGGTGGCTCACAACCACCTTGAATGAGATCTGGTGCCCTCTTCTGGCCTGCAGTCACATATGCTGTATACATAATAAATAAATGAATTTAAAAAAAAAAAAAAAAAGAAAACCAAGTTACAAGAGACTAACATCAAAGATCACTGAATTCAAGATCTCACCCTTGAAATGTAAAGCAGCTTCCAATTCAACACTTGCCAGGTTAAATATGAATAAAGCCGTTGGGCTTCCAATCCACAGGCATTTGGTGCACTCAGAAGAAAATCTAACCTTAGGAAGAAACAAAGTCTTCCTTCAGGTTAGTGCAACAACATCCCTGAGCATTCCTATCCCTCCATTTGGTGGGGATGGACACACATCTGTGTAACTAACGCAAAAGCTGTCTCCACCAACACTTCAGCTAGTCACTTATCTGCTGTGGGATGATCTGTATGGCAAATGTGTTGCTGATTAGTCAATAAATAAAACACTGATTGGCCGTTGGCTAGGCAGGAAGTATAGGCGGGACAAGGAGGAAAATAAAGCTGGGAAGTGGAAGGCTGAGGGAGAGACACTGCCAGCCGCCACGATGAGAAACAGCATGTGAAGATGCCAGTAAGCCACGAGCCATGTGGCAAGGTATAGATTAATGGAAATGGATTAATTTAAGCTGTAAGAACAGTTAGCAAGAAGCCTGCCACGGCCATACAGTTTGTAACCAATATAAGTCTCTGTGTTTACTTGGTCAGGTCTGAGTGGCTGTGGGACTGGCGGGTGAGAGAGGTTTGCCCTGACCATGGGCCAGGCATGAAAACTTTAGCTACACTTATCCCTTAATTATACTTGGGAATCGGGTACTGAGTTTCAAAGCAGCCGCTCCTGTCTATTTGAAACAAGTATCCCCAAGAGTCAGAGCATGGACAAGCTCAATTCTGACCACTGTGGTTTGTATTTTCTCCTGCGTTTACAAAAGCAGTTGATGGCTAAGTCATCCAGAAGCCTACTGATCATGTGAAGGATCTAGGCATGTGCTCTGATCCTGTTGCCAGTGGTCATGTCAGAGGAGCTGCAGTCAGCAACGGAGCTTACAGAATACAGCCCAGTGGAGAGCAAAGCTACTCTGGGTCCATCCTGGAGAGGCAGGGCCCTGGGAGGATTGTTCCCAGAATGCCCCTTGCTCCTGCTGAGCTTCCTCCTGCTTGCTGCTGCCCTGTTCCTGCTGTATGTGGCATGGTGTGATTTCTATGTGAAAAGATCCCACTGTATCTAGTATAGTGTGATTGTTTCATGGGAAAATCCCACTCCTTGCTGGGCAATTTACTTATAGATCACAATGAAGATGATTTTTATAAGAACAATGATGATTAGTTAGACCGATGATTTAATTGGACTTTCTGAAGTTAGCCTAAAAGATACAAGTGGTTAGGGCAGTAAAGATGATTAGGGAAATGGTTTATTGGAACAATTCTCCCAATTGTTCCAATAAGAGATACAAAAAAAGGTCAAAATAAGTCAGAAGTTACCTTCCCCTTTGTTAGATGTGAGATTTGCAGAAGTTGAAAATAAGAACAAGGAAGTTTCATATATTATAGACCCATGAATTCTGCCCATGGAAAAACAGGCTGATGATCAAAGAAATCAATTACGTCCCTACACTCAAGGTTAGGTCTGAGTTCCTTGGTCATGTAACTTACAGAACTAATCACAGACCCTGGTATGTACCTTGAAAAAACAAAGTTGTGAAAGGAAATTAAATGACCCTACTGAGTGCACAGAAAAATAGATGGTTAGCTGACACTCGTTAAAAGCTTCTCTAGAGTAGAAATAAAATAGAAATCGGCTACACTGAAACTGCAAACAGCTCCATGCCGGTACAAAAGGAACTGGCTGAAATAGACTTGGCTGCAGGAAATAAGGCTCAAACCAGTTGCCAAGGCATGTACATAATGTACTCCTTATGAGCCAACCCGGAGTCTGCCTGAGGGCCTAGCAACAGACACTGTCAGAGGTCCTGATCATGCCCAACCAATGAGGGGCGACCACTCAATGTCACTGGATCGGGACACAGCCTGGGTGCTGGGAGGAGGGTATATAAGGCTTTCCCCATTACTGAATAAATGAGTCTGCTGTTGGCCTTTCACCTGACTCCCGGTGTCTGTGTCATTGACACCAAGCTTTCTCACCCCCTCCCACGAGGGAGCTGTTAGGACCCAGCAATACTTGGCTTGCAACATTTGGCTTGCTTAAAACTTTGCTAATCAATTTTAAAAGAATCATTGATGTGGGGTGAAGATGTTATAGTGGGAAATTAATACAAAGAAAAATGTTTAACTACTTGTCAGCTTCTAAGAAAAACATGTGACTTATGATCATCATGTAATTTCTTCCTGTGCAAAGATTTTAATTTATTTTTGGAAAATATGCAACTTGTGGTCGTTTGGTAATCTTTTCTTGCATAGAAATTTTTGTTAGGAGGTATAAAAGGGATAAGAAAAATAAGATAGGTAGAAGGAAAGATGTTGAATGAAATATCGGGGAAGAAGTAGAAAGAAAACATCAGGGAAGATGGAGGAGGAGGACATCAGGGAAGATGGAGGAGGAGGACATCAGGGAAGATGGAGGAGGAGGACATCAGGGAAGATGGAGGAGGAGGACATCAGGGAAGATGGAGGAGGAGGACATCAGGGAAGATGGAGGAGGAGGACATCAGGGAGGATGGAGGAGGAGGACATCAGGGAAGATGGAGGAGGAGGACATCAGGGAAGATGGAGGAGGAGGACGTCAGGGAAGATGGAGGAGGAGGACATCAGGGTAGAAGAAGAGAACAGAAAAAAGAACAGAGTAGGAGCAAGCAGCAGAAATAAAAATAAGATGAAGAGTTAAGCTTTGGCCCTCAGAAAGTCTCCTGTGTATGCAGCTCCACTGACACCTCACTCCTTTGCAGTTCCTTTGACCTGCTGAAAGCTGGCCCTTCAGCAGCACAATGTCACCATGGTCCTTCGTGAAAATAAAAGTAAGCTCAGAGAGCAGCTATCTGGTCCACAGTGGCAGAGCTCATCAGAGAGCAAACATGAGTCTGTTTCCTTCACTTTATCCTGAACAGGGGAACATTCATAGGCTCTCTCACTAGAGCAGTCAGCAGGCATTCCTCCTTAGGTCCACACCACACAACCCAGCACTTCCCACATCACCTGACAAATCATGGTAAACAGGATTCAGTAGTGAGACCCTGGCTTTGTCCGCAGGAACTCTCAGTACTCTGAGGTAGGACACAGGAAGTCCTGTGACTCCAGTGCAGGAACCAGCCCTCCTCCTGCCTCTATTTTGCCAGTGTGACTTGGACTAGAGGGGAGTGCTCTATTCCCAAGGCCCAGGCAGTGTAATGAGCTCTCTTCATTTGCAAGCAACCTCCCCCATCTAGAGCTGAATTCACAGATGCTAAAGGTGCTGAGCTGTCTCAGGGGGAAAGGCAAGCTCGTAGATAATGCTTCCTTGTATTCCCAAGAATTTATAATATTCAGAAATAAATGAGTAAAATTCACTAGGGATCGATTTTAACATGGAACACCTGGGAGGAAAGAGTGTGAGCTAAGTCATGTCACAATCCAAGGAAAGGACTACTACAGAGGTTCCACACATAGTTAGAAAAGTGATCTAATTCCTTTTGCTAACAATGCTTGAATGAAACTGGCAAAATTTACTAAATCTAAGACTTAAAATATGCAATTTTAGGAACACTTACAGTCAGTAATAATGAGAGACACAAAACTTGGCGTTCACTTCAACCATTCATAAAACCGAACTCCGGGCTCACTTAGGAAAGTTAGTGACTACAGCTGGGCCCGGCTCATCATACGTACACTCCACACTGGGAATCCTGCAGGCAGAGGTCGCAGTGCGCCAGGCTCAGGACAGGGAATGTTGCTTCAGCCTCTTCCCTTTTATCCACCTCAGGTCTGGAGTGGCACTGTCTGTCTTCTAGGGAACAGAGTTATTGATTACCTAAGAAGCAAAGTTGCTTAGTGATCAGTTAACAGAATGAACCATAAATCAGAAAAGCATTTAGACTTTGAAGATGAAGAAAAATAAAGCTAAAAATCAAAAAGGAACCCTAGACTGAATCTATAAGGGATGGGGAATTGGGAAAAGAGACTGTCAATGCAAAGAGGTTAGTGTCACCATTCCTAAAATAGATCTAAACTGTAGTAAAGAATGAGCAACTGTTGGGGCTGGAGAGATGGCTCAGAGGTTGGGAGCACTGGCTGCTCTTCCAGAGGTCCTGAGTTCAATTCCCAGCAACCACATGGTGGCTCACAACCATCTGTAATGAGATCTGGTGCCCTCTTCTGACCTGTGGTCATACATGCTGTATACAAAATAAATAAATAAATCTTTAAAAAAAAAAAAAAAAGAAAAAGAAAAAAGAAAAAAAAAAAAAAAAAGAATGAGCAACTGCTTATAAAAAAAAATAACAAAAATCATGGCTTAATATATTTGGAAAAAAAGAGATATACTGGTAGGACAGTAATTTCTGACCTAATTAAAAAACACAAATCATTTAAAGCCATACAAAAACTACAAACTAAGGAAGGAAGGAATATCCGTAAGAACAAATATATAGGGCAGGAAAGTGTCAAGGAAACTCACACACACACCCACATTAGCTCTCAGCCTCACTGAAGGAAGACACCAGCACTCCTCAAGTAAGTGCCAGCTCCTTCACGGACCTAGAGCAGGTGAGTGGAGGTATGGAAGAGGCAGATATGGACAAGTGGGTGCAATTTTGGACAGCAGAGCTGGAAACAGGCTTAGGGGAGTAGGTAAGGAAGGCAGGATCTGAGACCTGAAGGAGGAGATGGGTCAGCATTTGCAATGGAAACAGTGAGGCAGCACCCTGGGGACAGTGCACTAGTTTGCTCAGATGCACTGTTCAGACAGCTGCAGGGCCTGCCCTCTTGAGCTCCTGCTTTGATGAAAACCCAAGGGTTTGTGTTCTCCCATTCCCTGCGACCCTGTACTCCACACAGCACACTGTGAGCCAGCCTCCAGCCCAGGGAACAGAACCTATGGGGCACGGTGGCATCAGAAGTCAGGACCTTTCCCAAATCAGAGACTTCCCTTGTTTTCCTTCCCACCCTATCCAACGGAGATCCTGACGTGTGCCCTTGGGTGCTGTGTCCATTCAGGAGGCCTGGAGAGCACAAGAAGCACACCTGGCCGACTGTACTGCCCAGCCATCATTCTTCGGGTGGAGAAAGTCTCACTTTTCTTCCTTAGGTCCACATGCGCCACACAGTGGTAGTGATGTCTCTCCATCAAACTAAAGATCCACAGCTACAAAAGCAAAATATGTAGACACCAATCTCTTTCAAGAAGTGATACTTGTAAAATCCAAAGGAAAGGGGGGGCAGAGCAGACAAGCTGCATCAGATATGCTCCTGGGTTCTCCTAGACACCTGGACTATCCTGAATGTTGCTTTTAGCCCCTCCTTGAAAGCTGCACAGCTTCCAAGCAGGTACTTACAGGGGATAGTTTGTCCAGAATCTTAGGTCAGACATGGCTGTGATTCACTGTCATACAGAGCCACCTATGGGGTCCCAAGATCACAAGCACCTACAGAGCACATGCTACAGACTTTGATCCATGAGTATTTCTAACATGTTATGGGCCCTAACACACAGGATAATGGCAGTTGAGTTAAGAAAAAGAAAATAAACTATCTTAGCTTCCCAGTGTACAACTTCATCATATGTATATCAACAGTGCCTTTATAAAATAAACCTAAGGTGTTTACATTAAATTTTTAGTATCTTCAGTTTTAAAATCATCTGATGCTAGTGGCTGAAGAAGTGGTTCTAACTTTTGCTACATTCAAATATCATTGTTAGCATTGTTAAATCATGCATGTCAAGGTTACTCTGCAGAACAAAGCCCTCCCAACCCCACCACGGTGCTGAGATGCACAATGGACAAAGCCTAGAACACCACAGGTGATGACAGAAAAGAGACCTTGCACACGTTCATGTTCCATATGTTTGAGATTCAGCTAGAACTGCAAAGGGCTCTCACCTGGCCATCAGCACTGCCAGTGACCAGCTGTCGGTTTTCTTCATCGATAAGCAAACTCAGGAGAGGGTAACCTGAGAGGGGACATAAGACATTCAGTATGGACAGTGCTTCTTCTAGTTGACTTAGCGCTATTCTGAATCTTTTTCATACCAGGAGGTAAAAATTATAAGTGAATATAAATTTGGAAGCATTCATGAGCAAGAGAGAAAAAATGAATGCTGTCCCAAATAAGAATGGTGGGTATATTGTAGCCAGGACATAAAATAAATAGATAAATAAATACATACATAAATAAATAGAGTTATTAAAAACAAACAAACAAGCCAGGGGAGGGGGGTGGCACATGCCTTTAATCCCAGCACTCAGGAGGCAGAGGCAGGTGGATCTTTGTGAGTTCGAGGCCAGCCTGGGCTACAGAGCGAGATCCAGGAAAGGCGCAAAGCTACACAGAGAAACCCTGTCTTGAAAAACCAAACAAACAAACAAATAAAAAAGAATGGTGGGTGGTGGATCCTGGTTAGTCCCATCCCATTTGCCAACACTGAGCAGGTCCAGAGCAACTGCCTGGAGGAAGGAAGGAAAGTTCAGCTAGCATTTTAAACAGGGCAGAGCAGTTCCTGTAGGCCAAAAACAATGAAATCATAGATTCAGTGATAAAAACAGCAGTTAAGTGGGTGTCTACAAAAAATAAAAGAACTCCCTAAAATTTAATTTTACTTAAAATATAGTCTAAAGTATCAAGAATTTGGAAGAACTAGATAAATAGAGGTTGAGAAACACTACGTCCTAATTAAGCTATAAATGACATTCATGGTGAATCTATAGCACAGTCTGCAATTGTGTTCCTCAATCAAATTGTTCCACAAGATTGCTTCAGGAAAATCCAACAAACTTCCAGAAAATGTGCTTCATGCCCAAGCTTGGTGAAAAACTTCAGGCTGTCAGAACACAATATTCTACATGTGGGTAACTGACCTAAAAAATGCTCAGTCTTAGAAAAATACAGTTGTAACTCTAGCAGAACACCAAAGCATCTGTGTTTTCCTTGAGGAGCATTTTCACAAGGCATCTCAAAGGAAAGGAAAGACCCCTAACATCGGCCATCCTGCTCTCCCAGAACACTGTGCATTCATGGCAGGACGTGGGAAGAACTCCAGAAGCAACCCATGAGATGCAAGGTGGAAACACAGGGCCCCAGGAGGAATGCTCCCCTGACTCACACACAGCACCCCAGGCCCCAGGAGACCAGGCCATAGGAACTGGTCACTCCTCTGTATAATCAAGTGCTGGTTCCATTGCCCACCAAAGAGACAATTTGATGAAAGCAACAATTACCCTAGAATTCATAGGATGAACAAATGTTTCCAGCCTCACCAATGGCTTACATGCTGTCCAGTTCTGGTGTCCCTCCAAACTTTTCCAGCTCTGGGCCTCTCCACAGGACAGCAGGGGCCCTGTCTCAGGCACTTTATCTGAGAGCCAAACTATTCCACACACTTACCTGAGACAGATACTCAGAAGCCAACAAGGTAAAGTCCTCAGAGACAGTAACTGTGAAGCTTACCCACTCGGTATACAGAAGGAATGGGAACTGACAGCTACATACAGATGAGGCTGGTGATTCCGACTGTCACACCTCTATCTCTAGGGCGAGAGCCACACTAGGCGAGTTTGTTTATGCAGCCTACCCAGCTAGAATGTAAAAGAGTCTTTGATTTACCTGTTAAAATGGATGAGCTGTATATCAAGGATCCCACACAATAGTCCCAGACCTTTAAATGAAAAGACATTTCTTTAAGAGACATAAAATGATGCTATGTTGCTAAACCATGAACTAAATTTTAAGCAATTAAAAATTAATCTGCATAAATAATAATTAAAGAATGAAAATTCACTTAGTGAATCACTGCATTGCTAAAACCCAAGACTTCAGAATAATGAAAACATCCTGAGTCCTCCAAAGATAACCACCTATGGATTAGGGAGGATGAAGACATACCTAAGGGACAGCAATTCCTGTACATATACAATACCCCAAGTTAGTAGCTCAGTGAAGACTGTCAGCATGTCCCTGGTCTACGGCCCATTTGTGGAGGGTGCTAACCCAGAGGGCTGCATTCTAACCATGATGCTCGCTTGTGTTTGCTATACCCACTCTCCCTTCTATGGTGGGCACACCTCCAGGGACATCCCAAAATACCAACTCTCTTCATTCTCATGACCACCAGTGAGACAAGAGGCCCCATTTGGTCTATTTGAAATATAAAATTGAAGTGCAACATAGTTATCCAAGTATGGCAACTTGGATTTCTGTCCCAACAGCTGCCGACTCCCAGAGGAAGTCGGGACCCACTGGGTCTCATGAGATGGGTATTTTAAAATGACCGTGGTATAGATTCTCACAGCTTCTGTGATCTGATGCACACATGTGACTTTCAGCTTTTCTTTTAGGACAATGATAAATGTCTACCCTTTGTCAGTAAAATCATAGCAACATGAGCTAACTTGGGGCTGCTCAGAAGTGAACCTGCATTTTGCTTTATTTTTTCTCAAGCTCAGCTTAGTTGTGATTGAATCCTCTTATTGGGAACACTGGATCCTCAGCTGTTGGTCATTAGGAAACATTGCAGATATACATTGCCCCCTCTAGATTTAGATGTAAGAAAAGTTGGGGACAGTTCAAATGCTGGAGACCCAAGAAATGCACCAAGGAGTATCCCAGACCTACCAGAACATCAAAACTCCACTTCTGCGTGGGTGAGAAAACAGCCTCCCTGGGTATGTGCTTTAAATTGTATTCATTTTTATTTATGTGTGTGAGTGCTTTGCTTGCATGCATGAATGTGTACCACATATATGCAGTGTTCATGGAGGCCAGAATAAGGCATTGGATACCCTGGAACTAGAATTCCAGACAGTTGTGAGCCACTGTGTGGGTGCTGGGAACAGAGTCCTGACCCTCTGCAGGAACAGTGGTGTTCTTAACCACCGGGCCATCTTTTCTCCAGCTCCATCATATTTTTATTACAAGAAAAAAAAAACTTGCACAGCAGTAGCAATCCAACAGCAGCAGGCAGATATGTCCCATGGCATCCCTACGTCCACAGCATCCCTAACATCCCAAGCCACTGCTGCCCACCTTAAAGCTTCTGTCTTCAGACACGGAGATGAGGATGTTTGCCTGCCAGGGACAGAATTCTACCGCTGTCACTGAGCCTTGATGGCCCTGCAGCTCCACCAGCACAGACTGCTTCTAGAAGGAAGGAGGATTTGTAAAAGGTTATTCATGGAATTTTCTAGAATGATCAACATCAAGAAATCACAGTCCACTACAGAAAAAGAGAACTTGCTAAATAAATTCTACAAGGCCAGGCAAAGGGCTCAGTAGGTAAAGGCACTTGCCACCAAGTCTGAAGACTTAAGTTCAGTCCCTGGAACTCACATGGTCTATTGGAGTCCACCTAGGTTTCCTAGTGGCTTTACCCAGCAGGACTGCATAAGAGGACGATTGGGCTACAGGCCTGAGTATCAGGTGTTTGGAAGGGTCTACACGTGGTTGTATCTAGCAGGGGGGAGGTCTTTTTGCCTCATCCCTTGGCATTGTTATAAAAAGCCCTTTTGAATAAAGTTCTGGGCTGGTGGGTTGAGACCCAGATCCTCACAGGCTATCTTGTGTTTCTGTCTTTCCTCTCATTGTCTGGGTATCTCCTTCTATCTAAATATTTCCCACTTCTCTGTGCTCAAGAGCACACTGGTCATAAAAGTGGGGGCTGGTCCCCCACAATGGTGAAAGTAGAGAACCAATTCTACAGTTGTCCTCTGACCTCCACACATGTGCTGTGGCATGTGTGCCTGCACACACACACACACACACACACACACACACACACACACACACACACACACACACACTGTTTTTTAATTTAAAGAATAAATTTTATTTTACACATCCCTCTTTCCAAATTTGGGCCTACCCTATCCATGTCACCTCAGAAGTAAAAAAGTCTGATGCCGGAGCTCTGAGGGAGGCACATCATCAGGAAGGAAAAGATAAGGACCAGCTAACCCTGACCTGGTACACAGGGGCTAGCATCTCCTGGATCCCCTGCTGTCTGGGGCTTCCTCCTGACAGCCTCTTCTCAGCAGCCCACGTGTTCAGGGTGAAGGTAAGATGCTCAGTCTCTTACTATCTGTCCCTTTATGTCTGTTTCTTTCATCTGTTCCCTACCACTGTCTACCTCCCTCGCCCTTTCTGAATGTACCTGTCCTATCTTCTACCGCCCTTTGAAGCTATTCTCCAGTAACTAAAGTAGAGAGTAACTAAAATACAGCAAGACAACATGGTGCACCTACTTCGGAGTGAGTTAGCCCTTCCTTCAACTCTTAGCTTCACACAGCCCAGGCTTGGACTAGAAGTCAATGGACCAGCTCCCATTCTAACATGCCCTAAGCAACATGGCTGTGAGAACAACAGGACCTCCTGAGAGCAACAGCTGCCTCCCACCTCCGGTCCCACTGGGTTCCCTGTCCAGTGGCAAGGAGATGCTTGAACGTTATGATACTTTATGCAGACTGGAAGGACACCTCAGACATAGATGATAGGTCTGCAGATGATCAATAGACAGATATAGATGATAGATAGGTGACAGATGCTCAATATATAGGTGAAAGATGACAGGTAGATATATAGAAGATAAATGATAGATACTAGTCTGACAGATGACACAACTTTTAAGTACACACTGAACTCCGAAAGCTCTCTTTAACACTCTAAAGAACAACCCTGCTAAACAGGGTTTAGAGTTGTATGGGGTATGTTATATCAATAACCATCAAACAATTAGAGACAGAAGATCACAATGCATGTTGGGACAGAGGCAGAGAGGAAATGAGGTTATAGAATATGCATTCTGTTCCCTTCTGGAGCTTTAAAGCTCCCCAATTTCCATTTCTCTAAAGTAAAACCACTCACTTACATATGACTATATTATCACCTGCCAGATACTTTGTTTCCTTCTAATGGTTTGTATTTCATGGTGATTAAAAAGTGCTCAGTATTCACTTGAACGCTTTCAGAGAAAATGTTGTGACCTGTTGAACATTTCTCTGGAAGTGTAAGCCATCTGTGGACTGACTTGTCCTGTTCCTTGGCAGCCTGTCTACCACATTATTCTCCCTTGGAAGCCCTCTCACACTCTGCACACCTGCTGCTCACACAGGTTACACCTGAGCAAATTTCTGCTGTCGGACTTTTGATTTCCAGGTACATAACACTGTGTCAATCACTTTTGCTCTCTGAACACTTCCCCAACTTCGAACACCAGCAACCTTACTATCCTCCTAATTCATCTGGTCTCCCTCACCCTAACTAATGTTAGTTTTCCATTTTGGTGGTTAGTTTTGTGATGCAGTAGAGTGGCCTGGTGCCAATCTGTTCAACTACCAAAGGGTGTTTTCATATATCTTTAATACTTGGAGGTGAAGACCAGCTTATCCAGAAGGCTCCCATACACCTGACCTAGAACTACTCAGCAAACAACACAGACACCTCATCCCCAGGCTCCACACTATGACTTAAGTGAGGGAAGGTGTGATTTCTTTCAATGTGAACCTCAATTTCATTCATAGTTAGCCCAAAAATTATCTGACCATAAAACTGTGGCCAGGAGGTGGTGGCGCACACTTTTAATCCCAGCACTCGGGAGGCAGAGGCAGGTGGATCTCTGTGAGTTCGAGGCCAGCCTGAGCTACAGAGTGAGTTCCAGGAAAGGTGCCAAAGCTACACAGAGAAACCCTGTCTCGAAAAACCAAAAAAAAACAAACAAACAAAAACCTGTGTTCCCTTTGTGTGGGGTTTGTGTGAGAATGGCCCCAGTATCCACCACCTGCCTTCCTGCTGCTGCCTCAGCCTCATGCATCAATTAATGATGAGTTCTGTGGTGGTCTGAATGAGAATGGCCCCCATAGTCTCATAGACTGAATGCATGGTCACCAGAGAGTGGCACTGTTTGAAAGAATTAGAAGGTATGGCCATTTTAGGAAATGTGTCACTGGGGGTGGGCTTTGAGGTTTCAAAAGTCCATGCCAAGCAGAGTCTCTCTCTCTCTCTCTCTCTCTCTCTCTCTCTCTCTCTCTCTCAGGACCCGGATGTAGCTCCCAGCTACTGCTCCAATGCCATGCTCCCTGCCATGATGACAATGGACTAAGCCTCTGAAACTGTAAGAGCAAGCTCCTAGTCAAATGTTTTCTTTTGTAAGAGTTGCCTTGGCCATGGTGTCTCTTCATAGCAGTACAACAGTGACTAGGACATTTCGTTCCCCCAAATGTCTCACGTATCCTAGGGCCTAGGATAACCACCTCATGATCCTTGGCTAACATCTTTCCTCACCTAAGAGTTTTAAAGTAGACAACAAGGAGAGCCAGAGAAGGCAAAGTGCTTCATTAGCTGTGTTAACCTGAACACTGGGTAAGACAGCTACCCCAGGCACCGGGCACTCTACCATGAACTCAGGATACAGAGGCTCCTTCTCTCTCTCCAGGGAGATCTTTTAACACCTGGCACTGATTTACCACAGCTCAAGCACCAGTGCTCAACAAACCCCAGGTTAGAAATCCCCAGCCTAGGAGGCATTCACTTTTACATGAACTGTCTCAATTAAGAAACAAGTGAGAAGTCTGAGTCACAGTGGAAAATGGATTTTTGACAAGCAGGCAGCTGAAGCACTGTGCTACACAGATTATGGGGGGACTCCTAAGGTAGGAGGGTGCTCAAGAAAGAACTGTTTTGGTAAATGTGTCTGCTGAAAAGTATCCCTGCACAAATTCATGTTAACACCGATTCCAGTGGCTTATCAATTACAAGACCAAGATGTTTTCCTTGGATTCCCGTCCCCAACATCTTTACAAAATACATTGAACCAAATTGCCATTTAAAAAGCAAGAATGAAATACTCACCAACAGGAACCCAGCCTGGAAAGTACCACCCACTGTGTGCTTGGGACCGCCACAGGGTGTCGTTCTTACCTCCACATCCATCACAGATATTTTGTTTCCAGCACACACGGCAACAGCACGATCATCCAGACTAAATCTCAAACAGTGCACTGTTTGTAAAAGGGAGCCTAGGATAGTCCCTCGAGGAGTCAGCCCTAGAGCAAGTTCCAGATATTAGCATCAGCTCACCAGATGTCAGAAGAATGGGTCCTGTGTAGTTCTCTGCATCAGCTCATCAGATGTCAGAGAATGGGTCCTGTGTAGTTCTCTGCATCAGCTCATCGGATGTCAGAGAATGGGTCCTGTGTAGTTCTCTGCTCCAGAGCCACAGGCAGAGGAACAACAGGCTGGAGAGTGATGGTGGAACACAGTCTTTTTTCTGAGGCAGTTCAGTACAGAACCAAGGTCATAAAGAAACCAGTCTCCGGAGGGTCGTGGGCACCCAGAAGAGCTGCACAGACCAAGCTCTTTACCCAGCACTTCTCCCTGTGTCCATTGCCATCCAGGCTCTGGCAGTGACACACTCTGACCAGTGTTGGGGACAGTGTGCCATGAGAACTCTGGCCTCTGAGGCTCTTACCACCAAGATGACATCTCCATGGCAGCCTGCAGAGCCCTGGGTAACAATGCAAAATGTGTGCAGAGAAGGTTCAAGCGAAGTCACACCAGGGAATACAGTGCCTGCGACCTGCCCTGAGCCTCAGAAACCTGTCAATTAGCACAGATGTGTCACCAGCCAACCAAAAGACCCTGTATGTGGTGGCTAAGCTTAGTTGTCAACCTGACTACATCTGTAGTCAATAAAGGACATGCAGGGGAGCTTTCACTTTTTGCCTGCTTGCCCTCACTTCTGCAGGCAAATTCATCTACCTTGTTGCTGGGGCATTCCTTTGTCATTAGAACCTACTTTGTGGGGGGGTTCTAAGATAGACTAAAGAACAGCAGCTCTCTAGGGATTCCGTGGGACTCCAACACCAAACTGGGACTGGTGAGACAGGCAGGTGCATGGATTGAACTACCAGACTCTTGGCCTTTTAGGAGACAGCCATTATTGATCTACTAGGACCACACTGTATAAGGTGCTCTAATACTCCCCTTTTTACATACACACACACACACACACACACACACAAAATTTCACTGTACCAGCTATCTATATTTCATTCTCTCAGCTCTGATCCTTTAGAGACCCATGACTAAAGCACTGTGGAAGGGATGTATGTGTGTCACAAACAACGTCACTCACTCGTGGGCTTGGCCTGCTCTTTCACAAGCATCTGTGTTGTGTGTGCTATGTCAGCCTCTTCTCAGCACCTGCAGGGTCAGCCCCCAACTGGACAGGCCTCTGCTTTTGTGGAAAATTAACATGCAGAAGGCAAAGACATAGCACAGTCAACTCCAGGAAGCAAAACAGATCAATGAGTACATGGAGGACTAGTGATGGCCGCCCACTGAAAAGGCGTGCTATATACAAGAGGGCGAGGAGCCCAAGTGGCAAAGAGGACAAGTGCTACACAGTGGCCAGAAGGGGCCTTCAGCAAAACACCTGTGTCCAGACCTAGGGACTCAGTGGCACTGGCAGTGACTAAAACAGAACTAAAGAAAAGCCCTGGAAGGCTGAGTCCCTGCTCCACCAGGGTGAGGGTGGAGTCTGTGTGTGTGGCACTTTCTCTGCATGGTGGGGAGTTGCTTTGAGCAAACACTGGGCAGAAGCTGACTAACTCTGAGAGTTGAGAATTAAATGCAGACACGGAGAGATCAAGGCAAAGGAGGATGGTTAGACGTTAATGTCAGAATCCAGAGGAAGGATTGGGTAGCTTGTGCCTTCAGCACCTATGGATGTGTGATAGATGTCCAAATGTGAGACAGCGTTTAAAGGTAAAACAGATGGAATTCCACAATGATTGGATCTGGAGTGAGCTGAGGTCCTAACCTGAGCAACTGAAGAATAGAGCTCTGGTGAATTCAGACAGAAAAATAGTAGGGGATAGAGCAGGAGTGGCAGTACCAGCCATCGACAATGCTCTTAGACATGACAAGGAATTTTTTATTTTTTATATTTTTGGTTTTTCAAGACAGGATTTCTCTGTATAGTTTTAGTGCCTGTCCTAGATCTCACTCTGTAGACCAGGCTGGCTTTGAACTCACAGAGATCCACCTGGCTCTGCCTCCCAGGTGCTGGGATTAAAGGTGTGTACCACCACCCCCCACAATGACAAGGAATTTTTTAGCAGGAAGTATCTGGAGACTAAATTAGGAGAAGCTCTGGACAGAAACAAAGGGGTAAGCCATCAGCACATGAGAGTTTTGATGGGAGAAAAGAAAACGCTGTATTTCGGTGAGGAGCTGCAAGTGAGAAGAGGGAGCCAAGCAGCCAACAGGCTCTGAGGGTAAGACTGACCACACTCACCAGTGTAGAGGCAACCAACCACATCCTTCTCCCCTCCAAGCACAATCCAAGCAGCAGACCCAGAAGTGTTGTGAACACAGCTACCCCCAATGTGCCCAGGAACCAAACACAAGTAGGCTCCAACTCTGTACAGACAAAAGAGACACACTGAGAGCGTACAGCTTCCAGGAGCTCCTCTCCCCTCAAACCCATAATGCAAGCTCACTCTTGCTGTGGGATGTTCTGTAAGGCAAATGTGTTGCTGATTGGTCAATAAATAAAACACTGATTGGCCATTGGCTAGGCAGGAAGTGTAGGCGGGACAAGGAGGAAAATAAAGCTGGGAAGTGGAAGGCTGAGTCAGAGACACACTGCCAGCCGCCACAATGACAAACAGCATGTGAAGATGCCGGTAAGCCACGAGCCATGTGGCAAGGTATAGATTAATGGAAATGGATTAATTTAAGTTGTAAGAACAGTTAGCAAGAAGCCTGCCACGGCCATACAGTTTGTAAGCAATATAAGTCTCTGTGTTTACTTGGTTGGGTCTGAGCGGCTGTGGGACTGGCAGGTGAGAGAGATTTGTCCTGACTGTGGGCCAAGCAGGAAAACTCTAGCTACACACTCTCATTTCCACGAGCTTCAGCATAGTAAACTGTACATGGAACAATCTGTTCTATACTGTGACAGATGGCAAGTGAGCACTGGTGCTATGATTCAGAAACAAGTTTCTACCCAAGAACAGACCATTCATGCACCAACATCCACGTGAGGAACCTAAAGCATAGTAACCATGAACATGGGAAAACAGAAACCTCAGAGAACACTTTACTACACAGACAGTTGTGGATCTACCGCCTCAGAAGTACAGCCACTTCTAAAACAAAGGATCATGTATCCACAGCTTCAGGAGTACAGCTCCTTCCAACACAGAGGACTCTCTACAGACAGCCTCTGGAGTACAGCTCCTCTGATACAGAGGATCATCTACCTACAGCCTAAAGAATAAGTCCCTTCAAGCACAGAGGGCCATCTACCTACAGCCTCCAAGGAAAGCTCCAGGACTGGCTCCATACAGCCTCTTCTAACACAGAGGGCTGCAGATCTATAGCCTCAGGAGAGCCATTCTCTCTAACACAGGGTGCTTTCTGCCTACGGCTTCAGGAATACAGCCCCTTCTAACACTGGACTGTCTATAGCAGCCTTGGGGGTATAACTGCTTCTAAAACAGAGGGCCTACCTATAACTTTAAGTGTATATGTATTAGTTACTTCTCTATTTCTGTGATAAAACACCAGGATCAAGGCAACTTAATGAAGGGTTTATGCCAGGTGGTGGTGGCACACACCTTTAATCCCAGTACTTGGGAGGCAGAGGCAGGCAGATCTCTGTGAGTTCGAGGCCAGCCTGGTCTACAAAGTGATTTCCAGGAAAGGCGCAAAACTACACAGAGAAACCTTGTCTCCGGGGGGAGGGGGGGAAAAGGGTTTATTTGGGGCTTATAGTTTCAGAGGAATAGAAGCCCAGAACCATTGTGGTAGGGGACATAGCAGTAGGCAGACAGGAATAACAGTGGAGCAACTGAGAGCTTATATCCCAATCCACAAACAGGAAACAGAAAGAGTACACTCAAAATGGTTCTTTTGAAACCTCAAAGCCCATCCCCAGTGATATACCTCCCTCAATAAGGGCCACACCTCCTAATCCTTCCCAAACAGTTCTACTACATGGGGACCAACATATAAGCCCATGTTGACCATTCTCATTTAAACCACCACAGCATAGGTCCTTCTAACACAGAAATATCTACACCCTAGGAGTACAGCCCCTTCTTACACAGGGTACCATCTAACAGCCTGAAAAGTACAGCTCCTCTAACACAGAGGACTGTCTATCCACAGCCTGAGAGTACAGCTCCTCTAACACAGAGGACTGTCCATCCACAGCCTCAGAGTACAGTTAATCTAACACAGCCTCAGGGATACAGCTCTTTTTAATGTGTAAATGGCAATGATCGCATACCAACCTGTCTTTTGATAACTGGTGTACTTGTCAGAGCAAATACAGAACTCCTAACTGTTCCTGGGGCTTCATATCTGCTTGATCCCTGATGTTGGCACAGCTTAACCACCGTCTTCCTGTCCACTTACTCACCCATCGGTACCTTCTGTTCCTGCTCCAATCCTGTTCTGCCCTTTCCCCTTGCAGCTAAGCACAACTCTACATCTTCCCCCTTAGCCCAGCAGCCTCAGCAACTGCTTCTTCCCTGGGGCTGGTTTAGGTTATCTTAGCAATACATGCTCTGCTTACATTTCTATCAGCACACTTCTAAAACCTCTTGAACTCTGTTACAGCCTCCTTAACTTGTATTCATTCTGTAACTCAGATGGATGGATGGATGGATGGATGGATAGATGGATGGATGGATGGATGGATGGACGGACGGACAGACAGATGGATGGACAGACTTACTCTCTGCTGTGTGATATGAAAGTTAATACTAGTTGTTAATATTGGAATAAAAGAACATGCATTACCTCAGCTAGGTTACAAGGTAGAAGGGATTGTCTGGAAATTGCCACCAATGAAATTGCCACACCTTGTGAATTCATATTATTCAAAAAAATGTTAAATTGTGAAAAGACACAAATCTGTCTGGCTATGTTTCTGGCATACTTCACTCATACCACTGAGGTACAAACTGTTATACAATTCTGTGGTTACCTGGCATCACTAAGCATAATACTATAAACACATATCTGGGATGTGTTCCCACCTAAGCCATGAGCCTCAGCTGGGAAAGCTCTCACAACACATACTTCCTCAGTCTCTGCCCACCAGGCCCTTCACACCCAGAGTCTCTGCAGCCACATCCTTTTGTCTCTATCCCAGGCTCCAGCTGGGTCTCCCATCTTCAGCTCCAGTCACATGTCTGCAGAAGTCACCTGTGTGCAAACAGGCTGTCGTCTATTCGGTCTAAGTGGGAAAGTTCCCTGCAGAGAGCAAGCCTCTACGTTTGCAACATGAAATGCAGCAAGCACCTGGGTCACTGATCCATGAGGTGAGACGCTCCAAACTGTCCACAGACCCCTGGAGGTCTAAACACCGATATTTAAAATAAGAAAAGGAAGAAGAAGAATACCAGCAAGCCTCTGCACCCGCATGTCACACAGCAAAGGTCAGCAGACCTAATGACAAGGAACACTTAGACACCTGCGACACTGAAGGGACTTAAAGAGGTCCAACTCCTGACATTACAAATGTCCTTATAGAGACGGTCCACTCCTGGGTGGTGCTAGGATTAAACACACGGTCTCCTCCATGGTAGGTGTCTTAATTAGGGCTTCTGTTGCCATGAAAAATATGATGGCTGAAAGCATGGGGATGAAAGGTTTATTTTATCTTATAGTTTGTAGTTCATTGTCCAGGAAAGTCAGGGGAGGAACTCGGTAGGAACTAATGCAGAATCCATAAAGAAACACTGATTACTGACTTGCTTCTCATGGCTTGATCAGTTTGCTTTCTTATATACCCCAGGATCACTTGCCTGGGACCACAACACCAACCATGGGCTGGGCCCTTCTGTACCAATCATCCATCAAGAAAATGCCCTATATGTCTGCCTAGAAGCCAATCTCATGGAAGCTTTTTCTCCATTGAGGATCCCTTTTCTTAAATGAATCTGGACTGTGTCAAGATGAAAATAAACTAACTAGGACAGCAGGTACACTACCTACCACTCAGATACATCCCCAGCTCCTCTCCATTTATGTTGTTGAACTGTGCTCTACATCTTTGTTTACCTTTAAGTGTCTTCTCTCTACAGTCGTCCACATTCCACATTATAATACAATCCTGTGACGCAGAGCAGAGCTGAAGTGGATCTACTTGATTTCCAAAAGCCACAGCAGTAATCAGCTGATGGTGTCCTTCTAAGGTGAGAAGCTTAAAAAACAAATAGGTTACTTACAACCTAAGAAATATAGAGAAAAACAATATAATTTCAAACCTAGGTTTTTAAATATATTTATTACACATGTTGACTTTTAATTCATTGAAATTCCTGCATGTAATGCTGATTCTTCTGTCAAATGACCACATCACTACTGGTTGTTATCATACACTGTTACAGTGAGGCGGGGTACTCGTGCTTCTCTTCCTTATCAGGTGTTAATAAATGTGTACTGAGTACTCAATGGATGCAGAAGAGGTGCTGGTTATGCTGGCAGCTAAGAAGAGAGGAGCTGGCAGAGGATAAACACATTTGGGCCATTAGACAGCAGGGGATATGGAGGCCCTCCTGGCTCCAGCAAAAGTAAAGCTGTAGGGTGTGTGGCTTGAGACTGCTGCTGACACTATACAAAGAGACTGGATAGCAAACATGCCAGGGAACTGGAAACCAGCGCTCGAGTACAAGCGGCAGGATGCTGGGGTGTATGTGTGTGTGAGTGTAGAGGAGAGACTGGCAGTGAGAACTTGTGGGCTAGAGAAATAGCGATCCTGATGTAGAAGGGGAGAGGGGAAAAATAAACTCCCCACGGTCAAACTAAAAAGGAAAAGCATGCAAATGGAAGATGGGGTGAGGTGCCAAGAGGCCAGGGGTCCTTTGGTCCTTTTGAAGTTCAAATGCATAGACGTTGACAACAAGCAGTTTAGGATCAGGGGTATTAATGGACAAGACAAGAAGTACTCTACTCCTGGTAACACAGGCTTGCTGTCTGCATATGATTCTAGGTGAGAAAGACAAGAAAAACGGAAGACATGTAAGACTTGATGGCTTTTCTTGAAGGCATCAGAACACTGAAAAACTATGATATCAAGAGAAGAAAATTATTGTCTCATAATGACATCATCCACAAGGGCTGGGACTATAGCCCAGGTAGAGCATTGTACCACCTGTATGGTCCTGGGTCTAATTCCTAGTGCTCCCAGAAAGAAAGAAAATCTCCCTCAAAAGTGATGGTCAGACATTCTATAAAACGCTGCTGAGAAGCTAAGACATTAAAAGACCTAAGAACAGAGACACAATACAATCAAATGCATCCTTTTCAAGAATGTATCAGAAACACGCCATAGGAGGAGGAACAGACAGCTCATTCTGTCATGTTGGTCTTGTGTAGCCATCCTGAAACCAAGCTAAGTGCCTTAATGTGGGAGATGGGGGAAAAAGTATGGATGGATGAACACATTTCTGCTAGAATTCAACCTACTGAGACGGGGGCATCATGCTGCCAACTCCCAGCCTTAGAATAGGAATCCAAAAAAGACCAGACCCAAGAAGCAAAGAAACACCTGCCCTTATCATGGCAAGCTACCAGAAGCAAGCATAAATTCTATCTGGAAAAAGAAAGTTCATCCTGAGTAATCTGTAAAGACCTTCTTCACACCAACATGAAAAACACAGATAATCTAACAGAAAAACAAACAAACAAAAATTCAAGAGATCCCAGCACTGCAAACAAAAGGGGTGGGCCTTGGACACCTGCAAAGTGAGTATCTAAGTGGCCAATCATCATGCAATAAGACCCTGACATCATAAAGTCATCATAAAGTACACATGAAAGAACTGTGTAACAGGAGACTGCTACACCCATCAGGACTAACCTGAAAGGATCAAGTACAGTCATGGTGTGATCAACTGTAGCTCTAACCATCAGCAAAGACACAGCTTTGCACAGCCACTTGAGAACCTCCCGGGCATTATATATTAAGTCTGTGTGTCTCTTGTAACTCAGCCCTTTCCATGTGTGCACCAGATAATAACAAAAAATAAATAAACAGATAAAATAAAGCAAACTTCCACCAACAGTACAATGGGTAAAAGGCAGTCTATTCTGTGTACTGTGAAGCCATGAAAAGGAAGGAGGACAGGACTCTCCTAAATACACACCAATGGAAGAAAGTGATACAGAAGAATGCACAATGTGAAATTCCATTGGTGCCAGAAGTCAAGATGGCATTGCATTTGGCCAGGAGAGGAGGCCTGGCCTGGCCATGGCTTCCCAGGTGTGCACTGTTACATGCGACACTTTCCTCCTAAACATTTTATTCTTCACTGCAAAGCAAGAAAGCTCAAGTGTGAATGTAGTAGGCTTCCTTGAGTTAGGATGAGCCTTTTTTTTTTTTTTTTTTTGCTCATGTACTTTAAAAACTTTTTAAAGAGAAAGTTAATTCTAAACTATTTGTATTATAAAATAAGAGCTTAACAAGATGATTTTGCTTAACAACATTGCTCTGCCATAGCTCATGGGTGACTCCATGGAAGCTAATGTTTCCAGAATATGGGAGAAATAAAGAAACAGGGCAAGGTCTCTGTGACCCTGGATCTAACAAGAACATCCTTGGTTTGTGACCTGCCTGGTGAGAAGTGCCCCTGGGGCTCCACACACAGAGATAGTTCCCATCTAAAGGAAAAGCACAGTGCTGGGAGCCACAAGCAAGTGGAGCATGAGCTGTAGACTTCTTGGATTCAACCAGGTATCTCTCTGCAACTACATTACTTGTGCGGCCATCATTGGAGGGTATCTCTGGATGCATGTCCATTATCAGTCTGAAAATACAAAGCATATGTAAGATAAGGGCAGGTACAACATCAAAGTCTAGTTGATTCATCACTATTAGCATGAGAACACATATCACACTTACCCACTCACCCCTACCTCCCCTCAAAAAAGGAAAGGTATCAGTGAACACAGAACGACCTCTACTCCTTTTGCATGGTCTCCACTTCACAGGCCTTCCTCCACCTTCCGAGTCTCTTTCAGGACTGTGAAGGTGAACAGCCACCTCCCCGTGACCTGGCCTGAAGGGAGGACCCCTGCATAAGTGGTGTGGTAGTTCAAATGTAATTGGCCCCCATAAGCTCATAGAGAGTGGCACTATTGAGTGTGGCTCTGTTGGAGTAGGTGTGGCCTTGTTGGAGGAAATGTGTCACTGTGAAGGCGGGCTTTGAGGTCTCATATATTCTCAAGCCATGCCCAGTGTCTTAGACCACTTTCTGATGCCTGCCAGTCAAGATGCAGGAACTCTCAAGCTCCTTCTCCAGCACCGTGTCCTCCTGCACATCACTGCCTGCATGTCACCATGTCGAACCATGATGATAATGGACTAAACCTCTGAAAACATAAGCCACCCCAATTAAATATTCTTCCTTTATATAAGAATTGCCATGGTCATGGTGTTTCTTCACAGCAATAGAAACCCTAACTAAGATAAATACAGTTGGTGATAAATTACATAAGAACCAGGAACCCCTAGAGCAGCCCTAGGATGCATTAAAATATCTCAGTGTCTGTGACAGAAGTCAGGTTATTACAGATTACATCATCTGTGACTCGTGGCTAAGTCTCACCAAACATCTTAAACAACATTTCAGATATTTTATTTACTTTGCTGAGTCGTTTAGTGAGCATGACCACCTTAGACCCATGTAGCAGTAGGCTAGAGGAATCCCTGATGTCACTCATCCCCACATCCCACTGTGAGCACAGACATACTTGAAGGCACAACCAACAGATTTTTAGGCAGGTGGTCTCTGATCATCACGATGCCCACACCTCTCTATACACAGAGCTGATCATGTCCTAGTCCATCTTTTAAAACTTTGTCATCAGAAGGAAAATTGTCTCCAAGCACAAACCTTCTTTCTGAGAACTACAAACAGTGAGATTTAAATAAAATACAGAGTAACTGATTTCTGAGCCAGTGAAACTTGTAAAACTGGGCCCTAGAGGCTCTGTCAAGTGTGCTGGCTGAGTGGCCGTGTTTGATTCCTGCAGTGTCCGTTACAGGTGATTCTCATTTATACTCTCATGTATTGTAAAATGTAACTAACGTATTGCAGCCCAAGCCTATAGGAACTAATGTTGCTGTTTTCTTTTATAGACATGTTATACCTGTCAAACTGCCTTTTAAGTATTTGTTTACGCTCATAGATTAGTGCTGCTCTCAGCTTTGGTCACAGAAGCTTCCTTTCGCAGTGGGCAGCAGTCACTGCAGAGACTATAAGTGACTACTGAATGACCAGTTATTAATGAGACATCTGTATTACTCCCTCCAGGGCTCGGGGAACATCACTGAAGGAGAGGAAAGAAGGTAAGAGCCAGAGGAAGGGGTGGAATGTTATGGAACTGTCTGCTGTTCAGGACATGGCCAATGCCCTCGTGAATCCACAGCGTCTGTGATTACCTACATAAAACTGAACCTGTCAAGATTCTGTCATGGTGGGGGTGGTCATGAGTCCCCACTTGTCCCTCGGAATTTATAGGTGATTTATAGCTAATGGTTGCTAGGGAAAGAGAGAGACATTGTCTTCATTTTCATCACTGGTAAGGTGCTCATGTTACCACAAATAGCCCTTCACCCATGCTCCTGTAAACACTCACTGGGTCACACAAAAAAAAAGAAAAAAACATATATGAAAAATAGGAGAACTACTTGGGAAGAGGATTGGGATTAGTCAGGGTGGGAGACGTAAATATGATCAAAACGTATTATACCCATGTGTAAAATGTCATAACAAAAATCATCACTAATTAAGACATGCAAATAAAAACATTTTAAATGGGGGGGGTGAGCATCAGTAATCTATTAGCTTCCCATGAAGGCAATGTGACCAGGCACCTCACATTCCTGCCATCCCCAGTATCCCTCCATTTTCATACCACACATGTTCTACCATCCCCACCTCCCTTGGTGCCTCTTCGCCCATCCTCATGACTCATTTCTAGTTTCCAGGTCTCTACAGACACTCCAGATTAAACAAACAAATCTGAGAAATCAAAGCTGTAATCCATATCAGAGGACACGCAGTGTGTGGCCTCCAGGGCCTCAGTTATCGTCATGTATTTTCCAGTTCCATCCACTGCTCTGCAAAATTCATGGTTTCATTTTTCTTTACAGCTGAATAAAATTCTGTTGTGCATATGCACCACATTTTTATTATCCATTCATTGGTAAATGGACATCTAGGGGGATTCCATTTACTAGCTATTATGAACAGAACAGCAATGAACATAGATGTACCAGTATCTCTGCAGTAGGATGTAGAGTCCTTTAGATGTGTATCCAGGTACGGTATAGTTGGGTCATATGCAGTCTCGTTTTTAATTGTTTGAGAAACTGCCAGTCGGATTCCCGTAACAGCTGCACAAGTTTGCACGCCCACCATCAGTGATTAAGCATTCTCCATTTCCCCATCCACAGCAGCACTGGTTGTCATTTGTATTCTTGATGGTGGCCACTATGACTGGGATGTGGTAGAGTCTCAAAGTAGTTTTCATCTGCACCTCCTGGGTAGCTAAGGAGGTCAACACTTTTTTAATGTTTACTAGACATGTGTAAACAGGTGAGCTTCTTCTGTGAACTCTGTTCAACTACGTAGGCCATTTTTAATTGAGTAGTTTGTTTAGTTTTGGGGGGAGGGGGTTCTTTGTATATTCCACACAATCCTGTCAAACATATAGATGGCAAAGATTTTCACCCATTGCACTGTCAGAGTCTTCCCTCTGCCCCTAAGTGAAGTTTATGCTGTACTTATTCCTTTCACAGTTTCAAAGACCTCAGTCTTACAGCTCAAACTACCACTGGTCTACTGAAGAACACAGGCCTATGAAACTGCACAGACCAGACCTGGCATGCAGCAGGCACTCATGCACACACACGAGGGACCAACACAGGACAGACGACACACGGCAGGCACTTGTCCACGTCTGTGAGGGACCTGCATGGCCACCACACACCAAAGGCCCCACGCTATCCCTCATCTTCAGGTCACCTGCCTCTTTCTCCAGCTCAAACTGTTGCTTTATGAATTAACGGTGTGAACTAAATTAGAATATAAATTCTCCAATCTCCTCACACCCCAGGTACTATGGCTTGGAATGTTCTATAGAGCTGGTGCTTTTGTTTCTTGCTCTGGTGCTGGTGTCTTCCATGGGCAACTTGTCTGGTGGAGGGGTAGATCAGGAGCAGTGAGGGCAGGAATCGGCAAGGCCTCGCTGGCTATGGAAACAGGTATTTGCTTAGAGACATTGAAAGATGGATCCACAGATCCTAGAGTTTCTAACAGTAAACAGACTCCTAGGGCTTTATCTCAGCAACACTATGGGGTCCTGCTGTGGCTTTGGTAGAGACAGCTCCTGGGATGTTCCAGCGTAGGACCACAGCAGGTGAGATGGCAACAATGCCCTGCAACACGGATGCACCTGTGGGTGCTAGGGGCTAACTGGAGGAATCAAACATGCTTCCTAGGTTGTTGGCCTAAGCAACTAGGGCTGTTATTTCTGAGACAGAACAGTATGGAGTATCATAAATTAGCTTGTGAATGTGATGATTAGATGCAAAGCTTCCATTGTGACAGTCTCTAGGCTCTGAATCCAACTTTCTAGCAATTACATGGGAAGAAACAGGACCCACTTTCCTACCCGTCGTGTGTAAATTTGGAGGGTAGCAATCTAAGTGCGTTGTTCTTACCATCCAGGGGCTAACAGGACACAGGAGTATGAAAGAAGGCATGACAGTAACACTTGACAAGATACGACATCTCAGGTGAAGCAGTAAAGGCAAGCGTGGCACAAATCTTAAATGGTCTTAATAAAAAATTCGGAGCCAGCTATAGGGGTGAATTCTGAAAAATCAGAGAAGCAGAACAAGCCACAGCTAACCTCACCTCGACAACTCCTCATCTGATCCTTTTCCACGAATCCTCAGACTGAAAGCTTCTGAGTCCTCACCCGAATGGATCTAAGCTGAACTGCTGCTAAAAAGCCTAAAAGTTGCCGGGCGGTGGTGGCGCACGCCTTTAATCCCAGCACTCAGGAGGCAGAGCCAGGTGTATCTCTGTGAGTTCGAGGCCAGCCTGGGCTACAGAGTGTGTTCCAGGAAAGGCGCAAAGCTACACAGAGAAACCCTGTCTCGAAAAACCAAAAAAAAAAAAAAAAAGTCTAAAAGTTTAAAAGCTTCTAGTTCCTGGTCCTCACACTTTATATACCTTTCTGCTTCCTGTCATCACTTCCTGAAATTAAAGGCATGTGTCTTTCCCAAGCAAGACATGAGATCTCAAGTGCTGGGATTAAAGGTGTGTGTCATCATACCTGGCTGTTTCTAGTGTGGCCTTGAACTCACAGAGATCCAGATGGATCTCTTCCTCCAGAATGCTAGGATTAAAGCTGTGTGCTACCACTGCCTAACCTCTTATGTATAATATAGTGGCTCTTCTGTTCTCTGACCCCCAGATAAGTTTATTGGGGTGCACAATATATCAACCACAGGCAAGCATCTGAGAAAGATGTTAAGCGTAGGTAATTCTACAGTAAGAGACCAAACAAATAAGACCACACATATGCACGAACCTTCACATATGATCATGGGCACATACATACATACATACATACCAATTCATACTCAACGATGCTTGAGCACATACTCATATACATATAATTTGATGCAAATAGGACTGGTAGAGAAAGAATATGGTGACAATTCAAAGACACTATGTGAGTAGGATTCTCTATGGGAACAGAACTCAGAGAACAAATTTATATAGAAAGAGGATTTATCAAAGTGGCTTACAGGCTGTAGCTAACTAATCCAACACTGGAAGTCCAAGAATCCAGTAGTGTTCAGATGGTCTTCATTATATGCTGGAATCCCAAAGAAGTAGGCACTCTATGCCCATGATGGAATGAAGTCGCAGTCAGAGTGAGCGCAAGCAGAAGAGCAAAGAACTTCTTTCTTCCATGTCCTTTATATAGGCTGCCACGAGAAGGTGTGGGCCAGGTTATAAGTGTGTCTTCCCACTTCAGATGATTAAGAAAAAAAATCTCTCACAGGTATGCCCAGCCACTTGAGTTTTAGTAAAGTCCAGATGTGGTCAAGTTGACAAGCAAGAATAAATGTCACAGACAGTGCCACATCTTTTTTAATATGGTATTTTTTAATTTATTCCTTGAGAATTACATACAGTTATATAATGTATTTTGATCATATCCATTCCTTTCTCCCCCTCCTTCAACTTCTCCTGGAGTTTTCCACCAGTACATCCCCCTCCCATCTTCCTGTCCTCTTCTTTTTGTTTTTCAAAATAACCCACATGCATGGGTCTGGTCCTATTCAGTAGAGCATGATCAACCTACCAGTGGCCACACCACCAAAGAAAATGGACTCTCTCTCCCCTAGAAGCTATCAATTGTCATTAGTTCTTCAAGTAGGGGTAGGGTCTCCTGCTGGAATTTTGACTGGCTTGGTCTTGTAGAAGTCTTAAAGGTAGACACAAATCTTAAAGGTAAAAACAGAAAGCAAAATGGCTCCTGGCACTCAGCACTTAACATTCTTGGAACTGTTTCCAAATGTAGAAAGTATAAACAAGCCTTAGTTTGCTGAGATGTTCACAAGAGATAAAGGAATGGACTCGAAGTGGCTCTCCGGTAAAAAAATAAGTCACAGGAGACTGCCTTGAACATCAAGGGGAGGAAAGCCTGACCGTGCAGAGACATGGCCATCTTCAGGAGCTCTGAGCCCTCAGATTGCTGCTGCAGCCTCTCTTCGCTGCTGGCGCCTGACATTCCAGCTGTAGCACCTGACATTCCAGCTGTAGCACCTGACATTCCAGCTGTAGCACTTGACATTCCAGCTGTAGCACCTGACATTCCAGCTGTAGCACCTGACATTCCAGCTGTAGCACCTGACATTCCAGCTGTAGCACCTGACATTCCAGCTGTAGCACTTGACATTCCAGCTGTAGCACCAGACATTCCAGCTGTAGCACCTGACATTCCAGCTGTAGCACCTGACATTCCCAGCCGTAGTGCCTGCCTCTCCTTGGGGCAGCACTGTGCAGCAGTCAGAGCGTGGGGGAACTTGGAAAACTAAGGCATTCCACAGGAAGACTGAGACACATTTCCAGTTTCAGCGCCCTGCATTAGCTAACTGACAGTCTGTCCTCTGTGACCAGAGGTCAGACGGCCCCTAAAACTGATTGTCATCATAAAGTTAGTTTCATCTGTGAACACATTTGTTTTTCTAATTGATAGCCTGGCAGTTGACACAGCAGTCACCTAGCCGTTTTTCAGCCAATACTTTCAGCTTTCTCCCTGGAGCCACGGGAATGTAGCAAGACCTACATTTCCAGTTCTCCAGAAGTCAGGAGTAGCTGTGCCACAGAGTTCTAGCAAGTATGGCTCCAGAACAATTATCCCACTGGTGCACAGGCATGGTCTGTGATGGTCCTCTATTTTCTCCCTAATGGAAGAAGAAGGTTGAGGACCCAGAGCAGGTGCCTGCCCTCATCAGGAAGGCAACATGGCCTGGTCTGTGTGTGAAAAGCAGACTTTGTTGTGTTAAGCTACTGACATTCTGAGATTACTTCCCACACCTTTCCATACTAACACATAACCAGTGACACTGTGGGACACTGCTCGGTGACCTACCCAAGTGGAAGGCAAAGAAAGCCCGTCAAGACCCAGAGAAGCCCAACGTTGATGTCATACTAACAAAATGCATGCCAAGACTTTCTAATAGCCTGGAAGCCTAAACATACATGTACTGATCATCGGGCCCTACAGGAAATTATCACAGAGTTCGCAGCCCACACATAAACTTGATGAGGCAATGTGAGAACAAGCAGAAGTAGAAAATGTGCAGAAACATGGAAGCTTCCAGGCTGAGCTCAAGCACCTCAAGGTGCCAAAATCAGGCACAAAGAGTGGACAAGACTTAACCTTTTAGCCAAAAGCAATGCAAGGGTGGTTACTTTTCGTCCATGTAACCTCGGGGTATGAGCCACAAGGAGAGCAACTACATAAAAAGAAAGCAGACTTAATGAGAAGACCAAGAAGGATGTAGAGGTGGCTGTACCTGAAGCAAAGGGGGCTCACACTGGCCAGAGCCCATTGTTTTCCAGGGAACCATGAGATCAAAAAAGAGTATCCAAACAAGAATTAAAAAAAAATCAACAGCTGGCTGGGCAGTGGTGGTACACACCTTTAATCCCAACACTTGGGAGGATCTCTGAGTTGGAGGCAAGCCTGGTCTACAGAGTGAGTTCCGGGATAGCCAGGGCTACATGGATTTTAACCCTGTCTTGAAACACACACACACACACACACACACACACACACACACACACACACACACACACACACACACAGGGTCATATCCTCAGTAGCCATGTCACATGTGGCCATAGTGGAAAAACAGGGCAGAATGTAGGGCCTTAAAATACAAAGAGCAGAATCAGGGTGAAATCAGAGAAACATTCCCAACTTCAACCAGCAGGACCTGAGAACTGGCATGAGCAGTTTCTGCAGTCTCCATCACAGTATCCTGAGCACACTCAAGCACTGTACTCCAGTGGGAAGCCAACAGTCCATCTTCTTAGCTCAGAGGTCTCTGAACCTGAGAAGCCTTACTCAGGCCCCATAAAGAGAACTGTGTGAGGAGGGTAGATATGTCCCACCATGCTAGGTGCCTTGACCAAACAAGTCCCTCTGAGACGGAGCGACTGTTTTCTAAGTGGAATCTACAGAGAAACAGATGTTTGTTACCAAAGGAGAAACTGCTTATTTTTTACCAAACTATTGCTCTGTCCCAGTCCAGTGATTCTCAACCTGTGGGTCTCAACCCCTTTGGGGGTGGCATATCAGATACCCTGCATATCAGATATTTACATTATGATTCATAACAGTAGCAAAAAACAGCTATGAAGTAGCAATGTATGGTTGGGGGTCACCACAACAGGAGGGACTGTATTAAAGGGTCACAGCATTAGGAAGTTTGAGAACCATTACTCTAGACACAAAACTATCATTACTCAGGTCCCCTGTTGTCAGGTACAACCACATGGCTGGGTTCTAGCCAGGGCAGCAGGGACAAGCATGTAGGCATGAGTAACATATTTCACTTTGTAAGCTTGATGCTTGAAAGCCTCACCTGTATGACTCTCCAACGGTGGTCAAATGGAAAGTGTGTATAGGAGGGAAAAGCACATCCCACAGACATCCTGCACATATGCACATCCCACAAACACCCTGCACACATGCACATCCCACAGACACCCCGCACACATGCACATCCCACAGACACCCCGCACACATGCACATCCCACAGACACCCCGCACACACGCACACCCCACAGACATCCTGCACACACGCACATCAGACAAACAAGGCTAAGAAAGACTACGTTTATTTTTCTAGCGAGATTACAGTGTATGTAAGACTAGGGGCGCAATTCAAGAGACGCAGTGACACGTGACAGATAAAGACAATTTGGTTTTAAAGCTAAGTCACTAAACAAAAGCAGTGGTCTCAGATATACTAGGAGCTGCACATAATACAGAACTAAAAACATGTGACTGTCCTCTATTACCCAAGGAGCATCACAGTTAAAACTAGTTCATTCTATGTGTGTATTCTTAAGAAAACAAAAAAACCTGTTTCCTCTTGATTATACAGTATTAAAAATGTTTCTCAGTAGCTACAGAGGTAGAATCATGCCACTTCATCCTTGAGTTTGGAAAACACCATCAAGCAGTTCAATAGCAGATGCCTTCCACAGAACATGGCAGCATCATAAAATACACCTGAAGCTTTACGTACAGCAGAAGATTAAATTCTCCACATTAGCTAGAAGAAGAGTTGGTTTCCAACTCAGATACTCTGCAGACGTAAATCTTGAGAATAACACCATTAGCTATAGTTAACAGGGGTACAAGAACGCAGCAAAACGACACCCGGATATTACTAAGGCTTCAGTTCTTTCCTTAATTATTAAATGTACCCAAAGATCCTATCTTAAGGTGTTTTGTTTTTTTAAATCTAAAAAATACCTAGTACCCTGCTTTTGTTGGCCTACTTTACAGACTACCATTTTCAAGCCACTTTTGTGTCACCGTAGAATATTACGTAATGCTCTTGTTTGAATGTGTCCCCCACAAAATTTCTATGTTGAACCCTCTCCTCCAATGTGATGGTCTGAAGGCGCAAAGGGACAATGTAGGAGGTGATCCGGTGGTGAGGGCGGAGCCTCCTTGATGAGATTTGGTGCCCTTGTAAAAATCGTCCCAAGAGCTTTTCCAGCACTAAGGCCATCCATTTATAAACTAGGAAGAATTTCCAAACATCAAATATGGCCTTAAGAAGGGGGGGATGGGAGACAAACGATTGTTTCTGACACTCTATTTAAAGTTTATGGTGTGTTATATAAACTGGAACGTACTCAGAAAAAAGCATTTCTTACTAATAGTTCTCATGTGGAAGTTTAAACTTTTCCTTCTGTCATGGTTTAAGATAAATTCGAAAGTATTCTCTGCCGATACAGCCTGCACTCACGACCCCCTGCCCAACTCGTCCGTAAGGGGCTCAGGCTGCAGGGTCTGGGGGCCCGGGCTCAGCGGGCGCCCTCTGGCGGCCACGCAGCCTGGCCGACGGCTTGGCGCGTGCGCAGCCCCGCCGGACGCGCACCCTCACCGCAACGCGGCCCCGTGGGAGAGAAGCTTGGGGGGCACCACCGGGGGCCGCACCGCTCGCGGGTGCGTTGCAGTCCTCCGTCGTATCGGAGTAGGCTCCCTGGCCGTCTCCTCCCAGGAGCTTGTCGCCGGAAGACGTCCGGACGCAGGCGCTAACGCCAAGCCGCGGTCCCTGGCGCCCTCACCTGCTGTCCGGCCCGCGTTCTCCGGAACTGGCCGCGGGCGTTTTCACGTCACTATGGTTACAAGAAAGCTAACCCTTAAGGCTACGCGCCCCTTCTCTATTCTCGCGAGACTCTGACGTTGCTTCACTTCCGGTCCGTAGGCCGGAGTCCGTTCCCGAAAGCCCTCGCTTCTGGACTACCACACTTCCGGGCACTGCTTCTCTTCCGCCTGCCGGCCCGAGTTCCATGTTGAGCCCGGATGCTGCGGGTGCTGTGTGGCTTGCGGGGCGTGGCGGTGAGTCCGGGGTCAGCAACCTCGTTATTCTCCAGACACCTGGGCCCCTAGGGGCCTGTCCTACCATCCCCCTTACCGCTTCCCTCTTCCCACCCCGCCTCCTCCTCCCCTATCTGCTGTTCCCTACTCTTTACCCCTTCTCTCCATCCCCCTCCCCACTGTCGGTTCCCGGGACCCAGTTGCACACATCTTGGTCTGCCTGGACGAGCACCTTCGGTCAAGCCTGTCTTCCCAACACAGCGACTGCAGATGAGGGAGTTCCCGAGTTGAGTGTCCCAGCGATGGCTACTCCCTGGAGGTGCGCCCTGTTGATGATCCTGTTGTCCCAGGTGGTGACCCTGGTAAAATGCTTGGAAGACGACGACGTCCCGGAGGAGTGGCTTCTTCTGCACGTGGTCCAGGGCCAGATAGGAGCTGGGAATTACAGCTACTTGCGGTTGAACCACGAGGGTAAAATTATTCTCAGGATGCAGAGCCTCCGGGGGGATGCGGACCTGTATGTGTCCGACAGCACTCTGCACCCAAGCTTCGACGAGTATGAGCTGCAATCGGTCACTTGCGGCCAGGATGTGGTCTCTATACCGGCGCACTTCCAGCGCCCGGTGGGGATAGGAATTTATGGACACCCATCACACCATGAAAGCGACTTTGAGATGAGGGTATACTCTGACAGAACTGTGGATCAGTACCCATTTGGAGAGGCTGCCTATTCTGCTGACCCTACAGGAGCCAGTCAGAACCAAGCTTATGCTCCAGAGGAGTCAGCCCAAGAAGAGGAGTCGGTCCTCTGGACGATATTGATTAGCATTTTGAAATTGGTGCTCGAAATTCTCTTCTGAACCCTTATCTGCACGGAGCAGTTAGTTTGCTGTGGACCTTGCTACTTGACCTGGTGAAATTCTGGTTCCTTTTTCTAGACTAGGATGGAAAAATAAAGCCATACAGTTTTGTTACCTCAATTTACTCCCCAACAGGAAAAGCAGCAAGCACAATATTTTAGAGATTAAAATCCCTATAAAAAGGAGTCTGCTCAATAAAATGTTTAAATACATTTTGGTTAGTCAGGTGAGTAAAAAGATTATTGCAGTAACAGGCTGTATAAATCAGATTGTCTTTGTGCTAGTGCAGATGAAATCAAAAGGCTGACCAACTTTAGAATTTATTCTAGACATTCTAAATGAAGTACAGCACTTCAAGTTTTAAAGAGGTACTAAGCCAGGTCAGAAATGGTACATGGTACCCGATACTCAAGCAAGCTTTCCTGGCAGGCACATATTTACAAACTGTTGCTGTGCCAGTTGATGACTATTCCATATCCAGTTGTACCAGATCTTGGGCGATCTGCCCTTTCCTCTGCTTGGGCTGACTGGAGTGCTATGGTTATTAAGTAACTGTAATACTACCTAAGCAGGTCAAGATAGTCATGACAGATGCTAACTTTTCAGACTCAAGAAGTATTTCAAATGAAGTTGCTACCTCTTTCTGCTGATCTCTGGAAAGACAGCACTAAGAGATTAAAATCTGGAGAAAGCCATTTCTCTGACTTTCAAGGGTAGGAGTTGCTAATAATGAAATAAATCAACGTGAAGATGTTTAAGGTTATAGTTAATTTCAAAAAAAGTTCTTTATTGGCATAAAAATGAAAGTGTAAATAAATTGGCACCAAATATCCCAAACATGAGGGTCAAAAACCTATTTTATCCCTCTTTGCTGTTTTTCCCCCTTCTGCCCACTTTCCTGGGTGTTGGGGGAGCTCGCTGACAACAGTCACAAATCCAGCGACCTAGGAGAAAAATTGTTAGTTAATATGGAGTGGAACTTTATTTTTATAGGACTGAGTACAAACCACCTAAACTCACTCCTGAGCTGTCCATAGTGATAACTCTGGGATTTTTCAGTGGGGAGGGGAGTACTAAGCTCCTTAAGCCAAGGAAGAAAATGTAAACAACCTTTAATCAGTGTAAACAATGCAGTGTGGAATTTAGTGCAGGGACAAGATGGGGAAAGGGCACAAAACAATCATTTGTACCTTTAGATCCTTCCTAAAATTCAAATACCATCATGCTTTTAAAACCTCAACAACAGAATTCCTAATGTAGAACTTGTTAATTAATCTGGCTTTCTATGATGGCCTTTCTCCACTATTCTAACAGCACTCTCCATGGCACTTAACTAGCACCTATACCACATACTGAGCTGAACTACTACAGAACCTTAAGTGATTATTCAAGTTGCTTACTTCTAAAGGAATTCCAGGAAACTTAGTTTTATAGAGTACTATACAGTGTTAACTATGCAACTAAGTTCTTAAAATTGCACAATTACCTGTATAATGTTTCAATAGAATTACTGTGATTTACTATTTGATTCTGTGTCCATCCTAAAGTTATCTGGAATTGTCATGCTGCCTCACTTTATAGAAAGATGTCTTAGTATATATAAAAGCATAGCAGTCACTTTGTTAAGTTTCTAAATAGACAACCTTTAAAAATAAAATCAAAGCATTGAAACAAACTGGTGGTGTTACTTGAGCAGTTTTAGTAGAAAACACCAGCTTATTCTATCCCTCAGACAGTGCTTCCAAACCTAACCTAAGCATTCTGCTATCTCACTTCTCCTTTGGTTGCACTATGGGTGAAAATCAGGTAGCTGTGACATGGACAATAACAGCTTGATCATACTTGGAATATGTTCATGCCACTTATGCAACCTTAAAAAAAACGCTGGGAGATCTTCATCACACAAGGTAATGGGCTTTTTTTTTTTTTCATCTTTACCTGATGGAATAGCACCAAGGCCCACACAAAAAGTATGATACCCTCTGTCACACACATCACAGAACATCATTTCTTCTTCATGGTGGGGCTGTCCACATACAATGCATGTCTTACATTCCATACACTGCCATGGGTAGGTCTTAATCATAGAAACAAGCTCCATGGTCATATCCAAGCAAGAAGGGTGGCCTAAATCAAAACCAACATTAATAGCATTTCACAATAGAACTTTTAACTTAAAGCATATAAAATATTAGTTCCCAAAAATGGCTGCCATGATTAATATCACCATAGACACATCAAAATACAAGGTAGAGGATACATGGATTTTAACTACATCTAACAAGCCACTATCCATTTGTTGATTTTTTGGTGGACACCTAGCTGACAACTATAAACCTAGCTTTTGAGGCAACACGCAGGGTGAGGTTAAAATCTTAAGGAGACATCTTTACTTACCACTGTTATCACACTGGGAGCAGTGTATAAGTGATTCAGCCTTTCCTTTCTTGTTGGACTCCTTACCCTTCAGACAAATTCCACATAGAGCATTTGGAATGACCTTTGGCTGGAAGGGTAGAAGAGGGCTATAAATTTATGCCAGAAGAACTCACTATGGGTTCAAAAGGGATTCTGTTTGATAATTTGATAATGAGAACTTTTTTGTAAGACATAAATGGACATAAGATGGATCAGAACATAAAACCCCCTACTGATGAAAGCCTAGACTGCATTCTATAAACTGCATGAACTTGTGTTGCCTGAATGTAGCACTCTGTACTCCCTACACACACAGCATCATCTATATAAAGACCAGGAAGGAAAAATGAAATAGGATGTCAAATGCCACTAATAATTGGGAAAGAAACTCCATGTACCAAATGACCACACATAAAAGCTAAACCTAAGTGTTAAGCAACTTTATATTTACTTTATTTCAAAAACTTATTTTTCCAGAGAAATAAAGCTGATCCTATAAAATCTAAGTTAAAGAAAAAACAGTATTTTAATTGAAAGATGTCTCGTTCATACAGTCATGCATAAATGACTAGAAATCTGAGTTGTATGCATATTCTTGTTCCATGTCTAAAAAGTTAGAACTATGATAAAGGAGAAAAGCATTCACTGACATGTGAAACATAAAGTGTTTTCAGACAAGGAAAAATTGTAGTCAAGGAGGAAATATACAAAGCATATTAAGTATTATTTTTCAGATTAAAAACATACATAGTATTAGGGCTTTAAACATGGTTTAGGATAAAGTATAAGGGGTTTCTTACACCTAAAATGCCAGGGCAAGGAAAGGATATCTGAGCATCATAACCTTGACCTTCACAAATAGTGCTCACATGTACTATATATAGGTGTGCAACAATAAATGGTTAAAAAAAAAAGGGGGGGGACAAATGATAACAGGGTAATAGTCTAACACAGTCAAATACATTATATCTCTTTTCTAAATTACTGTACCACAGAGATCTAAACTCATACTTTTATAAAGCAGTATCACTTTAAATGTTTCACTGCCACTTGTATACCTTATCAGACCTAAATAACTTGTTTTTACTTTTTTTAAATTTCTTTGCAAAAGATGACAGAGGCATTCAAAAACAATTTTTGGCTTATTTATTTTTTAAAAAGTCAACCTTATACATAAATATGATAAAAACAATATCTAGACAATCACAAATGTCTCTACAAAATAATAAATACCATGGAGTTAAACAAACATATAAAATGTCCCCATTGACTACTCTCCATCTCTTCTGTGTACTTTTATACCCTGCTCTTCCAGCATCTGACAGCAGCAGTTAGTTACTCTGCTATTCTTGCTGCATCCTAAGCACATGTTTTCACTGTGTCCTTGACCTCAGTAAAAAACAGAAGTTCACTTCTAAGACTGAATCTTAACTGCCATAATATGCAGCAGAACTTTGAATAACCTGTACTAAATGTAAAAGATAAACTTATTTAATACTTAGAGTTTAGTTAGACACTGGCATAAGTACTCTAATATTTTTTACTAAAGTCAGGGAAGAAACTAAACAATATTAAATTTTGAAAAGAGAATTTCTCATAGGAGACTCTTTACAAAGCAACTCAAAAGGAATAAAACAAATCTAGTTATTCACATTCTAGAGCAATTCAAGTTCTACAATCACTAAAATACACATAATGCCTATAATAAAAGGAGACACTAAGAAAATCCAGGGTTTACCTTTAAAATTATACATAATATTTTGTTAAACCATTTAAAATGTTTTCTTACCCAATAATCTTCATCTTGTTGAAAAGAAAAATATGGGGAAAGACAGAAAGAATGGGGAAGGGGAAGGGTGAGGAAGTAGGAGAGAAGAGTCAGCAGTAGACGAGGGACAGAGATGGCACTGCAGCATTTCCTACAGGGTGCTGCAGTTCCACATACAAAAGCACACTGTCCTGTCAGCACCCAGTCTTAACAGGCCACAGAGCCTGCACCCAGAGCCTCACGACAAACTAAACACCAGCACTGAGAGAGAGAGAGAGAAGGTGCAAAAGTCCCTTGAAGATCATGGGGGAAGGCCCTGTGCCTCTTTGAGACCCTGGTCTCTTTCAAACAATTGCAACAATCATTCAGTTTTCTTCAGCCAACAGCCCTCAGTATCTCAAATAAAAGGCTCATGTATACTTACTTCTCTTGTTGAAAAATAGCAAAATAAGTTGAAACTTTCATGGTAGCATTAACATAGTATGGATTTTAATTATATATGTGTAGGCCTGAAGCCTAACAATTAGACTTTAATTTCAGGTTAATGTAACCTAAGCAATACTGTCCTACAAGTTAAGGGCAAGCGCTAGTCCATCTTATTAAACCACATACATTATCATGTTTCTTAACTCCCTTATTTTAAAATGTGTGCGTGTGTGTGTGTATGTGTGTGTGTGTGTCTATGTCTGAGTGTCAGATTGAAGTACCCTAGTATTTAGGCACATCTTGGCTCATTAATACTTTTCATAAAGAGGTTAACTTTCAATAATCATGTTCACATTAACATATAATATCTATATATTGACTGTTCCTATCTTTGAAATACAGATTATAAAATGTTTGTTTTGCACATGCGGCTCCCTTGAGTGCTATTAGCTAAGATTAATCTATATGATTCATTTACTAGATCAGTGATGGTATGGATAGTTCTCCATTCCTAGCCTGTGTTATATGTCTGTTTCAATATTCTCTATTTTACAATGCAGGATGAACAGGCTCCTTGTTGAAAAGCTTCCTCAGCCCTGAACAGCTGCCACTGCCACTGGCACCTCCAAGACAGTGACACACACCGGCTCCTGTAGGCTGTTTCTAAAATGTAATCTTTGGAGTTTGTTTGGTTTCAATTATTAAGCAGTAACTCAAATCTTTAGTTTACAAAGCATAGATAAGCTATACATGTTAAAGAAAAAAACAAAACAAAACCAAGTACAAAATCACACAGCAGCAGCTTACTGAGGCTGTCCTTGGAAGGATTCCTTGCTAAGTAAACCAACAATCTGCTGGCCATGCACAAAAGCTTGTGTTTTAAGTGGATCATACATAGGCATTTCTAATAACTTATGGAACATTATAACTTACTAATGCACTGTCAGAAAGTGTTCCAGTGAGGCTGAGGGAAAATGACTCACAGCTCACTTCTGCTTGTTTTCTGTGCTACATGTCATTTTTATGCTACATATGTAGAGTCTAATACAACCAACACCAGAACAACTGTATGCTGTGCCATCGCCACCCATGTCCTAGCGGGACACTAACTCCCCCCTCTACAACACTCCTACATCCTTTTGCACCACAACAACTGCT